TCTGGTTGGCCACGGTAAAGGGCTCCTTAGGGTAGACATGGCGGAAGAAACCACCCTCCTTTTGAGGCTTCTTGGTCTTGCTGGTTTCATGGTCGTCGACCCGTAACTGTTCGGTCGTGCCATCCTGTTCTCCCTTGCGATTGCGCAACGAATTCCGTTCGATAAGCGGAATATCGTGGCTATCTTCGCTCACCTGCTTGCCAGCAGCGTCCTCGGTGCCTTGGCCTGTTCCGGAGGTCGAGATATCTCTCACGCCACCGCTGGTCGGGTAGGGCGAAGTGGCGGCATGTGTCAGATCTTCACCGTCGCCCTCGGTCTGAGCCTCGAGACGGCCGCCGTTCCAAGTCTCGGCGCGCTTGGGTTTCCAAGATACGTGTCGGAAGGGATTCCATGCCTCGGTGCCTTGGCGGCTGATGTTGTGCGCTTGGCGCTTGATGCGAAAATGATTGACTGAGAGCAGCTGGGTTAGTCTGTGTCTCCCATTTTCGCCATCAGTCGTCTCGTGTGACGACATTCGCGATGTATGGCAAGGGAGTGGAAGCGTGCTGCTTCAAGGGCACGGCGCAAGAAGCATGAGATGGGCGGGCCCAAGATGGTAAAACAAGAGCACAAGGAGTGACGGGTGAGATGAAGGTCAAGGAAAGAAAGCTAGGCTAAACAGAAACAAGTGTCTATTGATGCTGCGCTCAAGTGAGAGAAATCCCGATAAACCACACCAACGACAGGGCCATTGAATGGTCTGCGGATTGCGTATAGGAAACGGGTATAGGTATAGGTTCAGGTATAGGATCGGGGTAGGGATAGACAGATGGGATGCTTTCGGCGCGGCCGGGGATTGGGATGGGGATTTTGAGAGACGGGGGAACAAGGCAATTAACAGGAAATGAGTGGTGCAGAGACGTTGCGCATAAGAACTCACAGGTATCCATGGTATGGTTTGGGTCGTCGACTCAGCACTGCCCGGTCCACAACAAAAACTCCCCACTGAGCGATTAGTCCCGTCAGGTACAGACAGTCAAGGGGATTGGGTTCTTGGGTTCGGACGGAACTTGGCGCGCGCGTCCGGTTCGGTGTCGGAGGAGAATGGATGCCGGATGGTGTTTTGGGGCGGCAGGATTGGGGAGGGACTTTGTAGTTCTTAGTTCTGGATCAACGGGCGGCCTCGATTGAACAGCCTCAGCACTGCTCCCTTGAATCGCCTTGGGACGCGTATTTGATTTGGAACTTGGGGATCCAGCTGCTGGTAATTCCACCGTTGCTCCTGGGGCTGTGGCTGGTGATGGTTTCTGCAGCGGGGACTGCTAGTACCGGAAGAGTAAATAATATCCTGGGACCCCCTGGCAAGGCCTAAACGCGTACTTGTGCGGAATGGATTCGTGGGAGAGTATCGCAATAAAAAGGGTAATTTGCCCTTGTCTCGGAAAATGCCTGTGCTGGACTGTAGCGGACAGGTATGTGAATGTGTGGCTGATGAGCCGGATAGTATATCGCAAAGAGCGACTGGATTGTTAGTTGATCAAATGTTGTTGTATGTCGCTATGCAAGCTGCAAGCTGCAAGCCAAGAAATCTCCAAGACACTTCTTTGAGCGTCGCACAACAGCCGTTCGTTCGGATCGATGGCCCGAAGCGTCTTGGCTCTTGGCTCCTTGGCTTCTGGCGATCCGTGAGGCAGACAGACCGAAAGTTCGCTATTGATTCCACGGCTTCTTGATCAGGCAACCATGGAAGCCAAAACCGAAGTCCGGAGGCGGGGTTTGCGTCTGTTGGGATCGAGAGAGGCGAGAAAGGAGGCTGTGCGAGATGCCGGCAGTACAGTAGTAGCAGTGGCAGGCAAATGCGCGCAAAAAGGAAAAAGGAAGGGCTATGCAAGGAGAAAAGTCGAAGTGAATGAAGGCGCCGCTGTTTTCCGTTAGAGTGAATGGCGAGAAGCAGTCAGCCGTGAGTAATCTTTGCTTTTCTTGCTGCAATCGAGAGAGGGGAAAGAGAAGAAGAAGAAGTAGGAGAAGATCAATGCCTCCAGCTATGGGAGAGAGTTGTTCAAACGAAAAGGAAAAATAGTCTAGATCAATGACGGCAGGCTGATCCCCTAAAATTCAAGGTTCTTTCTGCCACAAGCTTAAAACTGCCCGCCAACACGTTCGATTGTTGGTGCTGCATCTCTTCAGGGGCCTACAGAAGGGCTGCTCGTATCGTGCTGGGACTATCAGGTGCCGAGCAGGTACCGCACAAGTACTCCCCAGTTACTCGTACACTTGGGCAGAAGGGGCAAGAAGGAGGGCCAGTGTGACGCTACGGTATCACTGGTTACTGGAGATTGCGTTGAGATGGTCTGGTGGTTTTTACTGTATTGCGTTGCAGTGATCAATTGATCTCATCACGGGATCCCTGTTCTGCTGGAGGTTGCGCTGGCTAGTGTGTCTGTTAGCGGTATAGCAGCATCGCCTGCAGGGGACTTAACAACTTAGTATTAGGACGAGACACTGTATTCACATCTTTGGGCACGCAGCCAATGAATCGTGCATCGAAACCGACCGTTTGATGGCATGCCAATCAGTGGGCTACTGTACAAAGTACGGAGTACATACATACACGCACACCGGTTCAAAGACTCGGAGGCCTCCTTGACACTCCTCGAACGGGTGTTCAAATCTGTTTGTCGTAGGAAAACGTCAATGTCCAGGTCAGTGCCGTTCAACAACGTCTGTGCTGTTCGTCTGCTAAAACAATACGAAACGTTTCCGCCTTTTTGCTTACAGCATTCAAAGGGCGACATCAAAGCCTCGTTTGCCTTCCGTTCAATGGCCCTTGCACCCACCGCCTGATTCAAGCTCCCGTCCAGCTTTGGTTCAGCTTCAACCCGTCTTCATACCCACCTCAGACAAACAAAACCACCACCCGACGGCAGTAGTACCTCAAAAGTACATCACGGGTACCCCCCTCCACCAAACAAACACACCGGCGCGTCGAAATCGCTGCCCCATCCACACAAGCGCTTTTCTCTAACCCCTGTCCCGCTCCTCCACCCCTGATTGATGAACGAGAGCGAGCTAAACTCTCTTTTTTCCCTTGGGATGATTTCCCTTCTTTGTGTCCAAACGTTGAATCCTTCTGCCTCGCTAGTACAGAAACTCTAGAACAATCATCAGGCTCCGTGGAACAAACAGTTTCAATAGGTATCAATACATGTACGAGTACTCCCAACCCAGGCCACGGCCCAACCAACGGCCCATTTCACAAAACCTGCTTGCATTGAGCCAATCACTCGCCCGCCCAATGCCCAACACAGTAACCAAGACGCCACCTCATAATTACAGTCCAACTACGTACTCCAGTCGTTACTCCGTAAAGTGATCAACATCAATGGCGCCCAAAATCAAGATTTCCTCCAATTGTGTGAATGCCCAGCGCCCACCAAAAAAAAAAATCTTCGCTCTCTTTTTTGCCATCCATCAGTTTCAACAAACATTCCCTGCATCTCTGTCCAAAGCAGTCCCTTTAGTTTCATGCACTCCTGCGTCCCCTCCAAACAACTGCATCATCCCCTGCCTGACGTCAGATGCTGCACTCCCTGCAGCCTGCGTTAGGAATCCCATTCGACTGGAGCTCTTCACCGTCCTCCGTTCCTCGTCATCTCTCCTCCGTATCGGCCGTTGAAAGCCCCGATCGCTACCTACCTTACCGGGTGGAACTACTAAAGAATCCAGAGCTATTACGACTCAAAGAGCAGTCCAACTACCAAGACACTGCCCTCTACTAGGACTCGTAATGCGCTCAGGCTCAGCCTTGGTGATGACAGACATCAGCCACCCCAGGTATTATCTCGTACAGTTTACCCAAACCGGCAAAATTCCATTATCGTCATCCTCACCCTCACCGTAAGCATCACCACATCTTTTCTGCAGCAAAAAACCAATATCTCTCGAACTCTCCTAAGCCCGCACAAAAAAAAAGCAATACAGTCATGGTCCCCCAACCCCCGAGTATTCCACACCTCCCCGTCCAATCCAGTCCTGCCACACACCTTAACCTCATCCCTAGTCAATGCAGCTACTACACTGGCCACTTACTTTACCTCTACCATTCGTACAAAAAAAAACTCGCTGCGCATACGCCAATTCATGCAAAAGATTCTACTCGTAACCACTGTCTCGTTAATTACAGCGTATCAAATAAGCCACTTTGGCCTAACCTGCTAGCTCTTCCGCTAAATCATGAGAAAAATCACCCCGACTACCCAACCAATCCATCCACAGCATAAAAATGCCAAGTCATCTTTGGGCTGCGACGAGAGTCGAATCCTTCTAGTAACGCATCATCGCCAAATTTCCACCAGTACAATCGAGGAAACCCCCGAGCATGACGCTTGCAGTAGCACAAACAGCCAACTGTCACGTACTACTGTAACAACATCACCCCATTGTCACACATGCACCAACCAGCTCTTCATCGTCATTCGGTAGTAACGGTGTCTCAATTACAGTACTACCAAAGATGCTAATTCCTTTCCCATCTGCCGCACTTGTATCTCTCTGTGGCGCAGAATCCTTTTTCTATCATACAGACTGAATACCAGTATCTTTGAAAATGCCTTGAATCATGTCCTCCCATTAAACGCCATTCCTCCATCAGATACGTCTCGTCCGAGATTTGTCTTGTATGCTGAGCAAAATGCACACCCCAGATTGCTTTCTGCGCCTTGAATATGACATCGATCCAGGCGTTGCCCACCCATGTATAGCCACCGTCGTAGATCAACCAGTTCCCAATGCCCACCGCTACTCTCACTGTTGCGTATAAACAATAAAGGAGAGGGGGCTGGGTAAGGGAACTAAAAAAAAATATGAGAGAAAGAAGAAAAAACGAGGGCGCCTTGATGCCGCTAAAATAAAACGAGAAGAAACCATGAAAAGTGATAAAAGTAGAAAAAGAAGAAAGAAGAAATCATCAAGTAGCATCCGACGCCGGTTCGGCCCAAATCAATAACCCCCATCTAGGCGCTCTAGATCCATTCCATATCTTCGTCTTCATCGCGTGACTCCGCTCCTTTACGTGGCCGTCCCCGTTTGCGTGGCTGAGATCCTGAGCGAGCTCGCTTTTTGCGGCCTCCGGGAGTGCCTACGCCTTTCCTCTTGCGACCCCGTTCGGGTGTTGTGCTCTCTTCTTCGCCTTCGCTAGGCGTACTCGGCCCCTCCAATGCCATCTCCTCATCGTCGTCGTCTTGCACCTTGAGCTCCTTGTCGACGTTCATCAGCTCCACAAACGCCTTACACTTCTGTGCCATTTTGCTGATCGTCTCCAGGCTGCTCACATGCGCCGTCACCTCGTCCCAGAATCGCTCTCCGTGAACTCCCTGCACTTTCATCGGCATCTTGTTGAGGTCCTTGGCCAAAGCCTTGGCTTTGCCGTCGTGTCGGCTTGTTCCCATTCCATACAGACGCCGGAGATGTGTGCGGGCTTCCCACAGGCAAGAAAGAATAATGGCCCCGGTAGTCAACTGGCGAAGTCGATTGGGGTCAACTTTGAGGCCGACGAGGGATTCACCCTCCGCGGTTGCCTGCGCTTCAACCGTCTCGCCCATTAGCTGGTCTGTAACTTCGTCCTGTTCCGTATGGTCCAGATCCAGACGCACGTCGAATACTTCCGACTCGATGAGGTGGGCAACTGCTGCGCCTGTTGTGCTCACAATCTTCTCCATCATGTTCACAATTGTCTGAAGCTCTCCAACCGTTTGATACTCGAAAAAGGCCATGTTCTCGATGACGAACCGGGAAAAGTCGAGGTGTGGTGGCATCTCTTCACTCGCGTCCAGCTGGGCAATGTCAAAGTTGACCAGTCCACACAGCTTCTCCAAGAAGCGCTGCCTGTTCTTCATTTTGCTAATCTTCAACACTTCCATCATAAGATGCAGCTTGGGTTGGAACAACTCAGGAATCGCCCCGTGGGAGTCTTTGACAATGTCTCGCTGGTAGTTGTAAGCCGATTGGATTGCCTTAACGTATTCTCTTTCAAGCACTGTCTCGTGCTTCTCGTGAAGTGACCGATGCTCCATAAAGGCGAGTTCCGCAATCTTTCGGTTTGACGATGTCTCTAGCGTCATCAGTGTCACTCCTGTCTCCTTGGGGTGCGTCAGACCTTGGCGGTTGATGCTGCCCAGGACTTCCATGGCTAAAAAGGCAAGTTCGTCTAGGCTGCCCAAGGAGATTCGCGTAATATCTTTGAGGAACCTTTGAGTAGTAGCACTGGCAACGTCGTCAAAGTTAGTGCCGCCCATCACCGTCAATTCTCTCTTTTTCTCCGTCGCCCCAGACTCGGCGGCGGCTTCGGATCGCCTTTCTTCCGTGAGGAGGAATTCTTTGAATGACTTGAGAATCATTGTTTCCAGAATAGGGACCTCCTCTTGGAAAACCTGCTGGAACGCTGTGTAGACCTTGGCCAACACGTAATTTCGCGGCCACGACTGGCAAACCAGGCCAATCGCTTCCAGAGATGCCTTTCGTGCCTCCAACGGCTGGGAAGGTGAGGAGAATGGCGATAGCACGTCCACAATGAGCCGAGGAACCGAGTCGCCCTGCCATTTGGGAAAGCGAGCCTTGAATATTTGCATCTGCTGATCCAGGTCGCAATGCTTCCCAACGCTGCCAACAATGATAGAGTAAGCAGCCAGATGGTTGATCCTCTTGCTATCCAGGGCAGCACCCCCAGCTCCTAGTTTCTGAATACCCAGCAGACCGGATGCGACTAGATTGCCCAATGGTCCAAAGTCTTTGAGCAAATCGCAGACTACTTTGGTACATGCGATCAAGTCATCCAAGGCTCCACGAGAGGAAATCTTTCCAATGCCTTTCAAGAGCTGGAGACGAATTTCGGTCAAAAATTCAGAGTGCACCGTGGGCAACTGGGGAAGTACGCGTTTGTAGATGACCGTCACGGCTCGAAACGCTGCCAATTCGTCGGTGCCACTGAAGCTTGCGAGATGAGGTTTCAGAAGTCTAATCTGCTCAAGACTGAATAGCTTGGGGTCGGCCTTGGCAAAGATTGTGAGCACTTGCAAGGCATCACGGCCGGTCGGTCCTCCTTCCTCCGAATCTCCGCTATCGATGAGGCCAAACATGCTGCTCACCAGGTGGGAGCAAACAGCAAATGGACCTTCCAGCGACTTGTCTTTCGGCCGAAGAATGGACCGAAACACCTTGTCTAGAATCTCCGTCACGTTTCCTGACTTGACGGTCTGGATGATCAGGGCCACATGTTCGGTCAAAGAGGTTTGGAATGCGGCCGAGTTGTCGCGGCCGTAAAAAGGAGCAAACCAGACTTCTTCAATCATCTGGCGGGCAAGGTCGCGAACACCTTCGTCAGGATCTTGTACACGTCGGAGAAGGCCATTAGCTATAGAACTGCGAAGTGCACTGTCGTGGTTGCGGAGATAGATATCGCGGGCAAGCTTCATGGCTCGCTTCCTAACACCAACACCGGCGTCTTGGAAGCGGTCGATGATCTTGGGTGTCAACGGAGATTCCAGAGCCGGCCTCAACGTGATGCAGCTTCCCAAAAGGCCAAGGGCAGAGTCTCTCACTTGCGTAGAGGAGTCGCTCGAACAATCTAGAATAAGTTGGATCACTGTGGAGTCCCCATCTAGGATGGATGGATCCGTCTCGAGAACCTGGTTGATACTTTTCAAGCTCTTGCTGCGGACTGTTGCTTGATCACCTGCCATTGAGCCAAGAAGAATGTTCAGGATCTTGCCAAAGGACTCAAAGAGCGGAGAACGCAGCAAAATAATGGAGTAGGAAAGCTTGGCTTGAGCAGGGCTGACGGCCTTGAAGGTGTATTCGTTAGAGAGCCATCGGCGGTCTTGAATCATCATCCGTAATCTGTAAGCAAGGCGTCCAAGTTCCCAGTCTCTCTCATCTTCATTGTCCTGGATTGCATCATAGCCCGCATGTACCCGAGCGGCCCAGTCAGTTATGAGGAACGACACAGCGCTGAACAGATATGGGTCATCTGATAGACGAGCCTGCAGGAACTCTAGCGAGGCACGGTAAGGTCCATCCCAGGCAACAATCTGCTCGATTGAGCTCTTCTGTTCAAGGACGTGGCAAGCCAGCGCCGCCAAATACCGCGACAGATCATCGACGTCAGTGGTTTCGAATGTGTTGGCAGTCTTTTTGACGTGAGATCGCAGGCGAGATATGGCCGCGCTCATGGTACCGAGGAGCTCAAGTGCCATGTTCTTGGCGGGAGCGGGTGTCTTGGGAGCCTCGAACAACTGCACCATCATGAGCATGAGGAGGCGCAATAGCAGCTCGGCTGATGGCCAATCCGGGGAATCAAGGCATGTCGTGAAGTCTTCGACGAAGAGATCCAGAAGGTTACGATATGGTGTGTCACCCGACTTCGTCGACCCAATAGCACGCTTCACAATAAAGTTGATAATGTACGAAGCATTCCGTCCGGCACCTTCACTGAGAGGGGCAGCTGCTGCCTCCAGTTCTTGGATGGCAACGGCGTGCTGCTGTGCGCCTTGTTCTTCGGTGTTGATAGAGGATGTGAATTGCGTCTTCTTGGCCCGGTTGTCGGGCAATTCATCCTCGCTCTCGTTGTCCTCGTCCATTTGATTATCGCCATTACCGAGAGCTTTAAGCACTGCAGTACGGCCACCCTCGCTCTCTTCCACCCTCCCAGAACTAGCCTGGACCAGTCGCATAAGAAGTGCCGACACCGGTTGAATGCTTCCGCCTTCGGAAAGCTTAAAATGGCGTGCGCTCTGTTTTCCCACGGGAAGCTTCTCTAGAGAGGTGAGGATATCGTCAATGATGCCCTGTCGCTGCTCAGGTTTGATAAGAAATATTTGGCAGAGCATGTCCATAGCAACACTGCGAATTCCATCAAACCGCTGTACTCCGACGGCTGAGTCTTTCTCAAAATAGGCGTTTTCGACAAAGATAAGCTTGGACGCGGTAAACTCTAGAGTGTTGAAGACGCTTTCCGAGAGCTCTACTTTCGTCACCAGCTCAGCAAGTGTGGCGAACAACTTCTGGCAGTTGAGAAAGGTAGACGACACAGCCTTTTTATGCTTTAGTACCATCCGGAATAAGTTGGCAGACGTTGAGTTTCGAAGCTCAACGAGGGGGATTATTATGTCTTCGGTGACAGTCTTGAAGATGTTGACGCATCTGTTGATGATGCTTTCCGAGTAGAGTCGCTTGTCTTCTCGGCCTCCAGACAAGATTCGCAGACAGGTACGCGCAGCTTTCATTCCTACTTCAACTTCTGCCAGCTGCTGAACCCATGAATCAAAGGCAGCTTCATCCCAGCTTTCATCAGCACGGATATCCATGCCATCGACCTGCTTCAGGCTACCGTCGCTCAGTTTCATGATCTGGAGAAGGCCCTCCACCGGAACTCTACCGAAGCACTTAAGTGCGATAGCCTTCTGGATAGCGCCTTGCATCTTCTGCTGCGTCGCGCCATTCAAGACGACCTCATTTTCGGGTGTCAGCGTCACGACGTGATCATATCCGGAGTCCATCCCCAAAGCTCGACCAACCGCCGAGAAGACGTTGCGCATAAGCGAGTCGAGAGACTCTAGAGCGGCTTCAGCTCGTTGCTGTTGGTCAAGACCGCCGCTGCTAACGAGGCCCTGGTCCCCTAGAGCCATATACCTCTCCTTCTTACGGGAAGAAAGGTTCTCAGGGGCGGACGGTATATGGGCAAATTCTAGGTACTCGTCCCTCTTGATATGAGACAAAGGAAGCTCAACTCGAAACGAGGCAGGATTGTAGTTGAAGTTTACATCAGATGATGCAGAAACGGCTGTTAAATTACCGTCCGGGCTGGCAGGCAACGCTGACGGCGCCTGCAACAGCGGAGTCTCGAGCTCAACTTGAGGCTGAGAAGCGTCAACATAAGCTGAGGGATCAAAGCCCCCTCGTCTTGACGGGATGACCACTTCTATCCTTGACTGAGGTTTCGGTGCCTCGTAATTATCTGTACGAGCTGCGTGATTCTCAATACTACCGGGCTGTATAGCCATATCCCTCGAGACGGTTCGGCTCTTGTTGCCGTTCACGCTAACAGCATGAGGGTTCACGACATTGGGCTTGGTAGCCTTGAAGTAGCCTCCGACCTTTTCGTAAACGGCTCGCGTGATAGGAGATAGTCCCTGTGAAAGACTTCCGGGCCGAGAGGTTGCTTGCCCTGTCAACACGGACTTGAAGTTGCTGCATAAAAAGTAAGCAGAGGCACTTGGGACTACGTTTAAGAAGCAGTTTGTCCCAAACTTACTAGTGCGTTCTTTGGGATGGCTTTATTTCGTGCAGCACAAGGTCAACGGCCTGCTTTGTGTTTCTTGGTAGGTGAGGCTGCCCAAGGGCTTCTCTGTTGAGTCGGTCGAAGTCGCTGTGGGGGAAGATATCGGAGATGGATGGAGCTGGCGAGCCAAAGCCTATGTTGGGATCGGGGATGATTTCTATGAGGAGAGGATGAGTAGGTATAAAATGGGAGAATATAGATTGATGCAAGAAAAGTAGAAAGTAAAAGAAATATCAAGCAGAGGTAGAACAGCGACTGACCAGGAACAAACGGCACAGTGGAGGTTTGGGGTGAGTACGGCAAAGATTCTTGCAATGTGAAAGGTCGTGAAATCGCGTTTTGCGAGGCGGCCGCGCTGTGGTTGGCGCTTGGCCCATCCTCGAGGTAGTCCATGTTGCGTGGCTGCATTGTGTTTGTTTGCCAGAGTCTCGATGTTGGCGAGGCCTCACCAGAGACGCATTGTCGGTACAGGAGCTACTGGGACATCAGCCGCTCCCCCAGCGTGTCATGGAAAGAAGCTGCGAGATTTGAACACGGCGGAAACGAGGGAAACTTGGGCCGAAAAGAGGACTCGTGGCGTCGAGACGGATTCCGGGGCGAATGCACACTGCATTAATAGAAGCGAGTGCGGCTTCAATGCGTGCCCAAACGCTGCACAGTTGGGTTTGGGTATTGCTTCGTCGAATCTTCGAATCACGCGCTGGCGCAGCCTGGAGAATCCGACAGCCTCGCTGGACCAATCTCGAAAGTCAAAAAGGATCCAATGGCCCGTGCGCCCCGCCTTGCGCCAATCAGCGGCGCTTCCGGAGCCGGTACCTTGCTTTATCAGTTATTCCGGATTATCAACCCCCTGCAAGGCCTGCAAGATCTTTTGCCAGTTGTCTTGCATGACAATTTTTGTACAGCTGGTTCCACGCGATCCCTCCCATTGCACAAGTAGAATTCGTCATAGTGTCTCTGCGCTGGCAAACTGACGAAGAAAATGGCTGCCATTGGGTCCATGGTGTTCTGCACCGACTGCGGAAACTTGCTCCCGGCCACCAAAGGAACCGAGCAGAATGTGCTGAGCTGCGAGTGCTGTAGCGCCGAAAATAAAGGTTTGGCTCTCCGGATTGGGCAGCATTTCAGTTGGAGTAGAGAGGAAAAAATTTTAACAAATGAGCTTCTCAGATACTGGCGCAAAGATTATTGTGACAAAGTCCAAGCCCTCAGATTTCCCTTCTTTCCTGCGGCAGAAGCTGCAGTCCAGCGTCCAATCTGTCGAGCGTCACACACTCAACACCGAGAGCACGGTTCGCGAGCGATGTCCAAACTGCGGCCGAGAAGAAGTCAAATACACAACAGTGCAACTGCGAAGTGCCGACGAAGGCTCAACCGTTATATATAACTGCGAGTGCGGATACAGTTGGCACGAAAACAATTAAAATATGTCTGGGAAGTTTCATTATTTATAACACGGAATTTTATCTATTTTTTTCGTCCTTTCTTCTATGCAGAGGCGCCGGCCACTTCTGGGATCAACGCATATTCCGTCTGGCCACCCCTCTCATACTCGGCCATATCTAATGCTACAATGACACTCTCACGAACAACCTGCTCTTTGTCTTGGAGGAATCGCTTCAAGATGTCCTCGACGCCCTCCTCATCACCGAGGCTGCCTAGAGCCTCGGCAGCTTCGTGACGCACCATGCTCGCCTCTTCAGTGTTGCTCAGGGCCTCAGTAAGGGCAGGAATGGATGCAGGATGTGAAAGCTGTCCAAAGACGAATGCAATCTCGTGGCGGAAAAGTGCTGAGGAGTCGGCAAATCCCTTGGCGAGAGCGTTGACGGCAGGGACGGCAGTCGGGCAGTCTGGAGGGGAGGCGAGATCGCGGAGGGCAAACATGGCACGATATCGCATGAAGAGAGGCTGGTTGACATCCATCAGCACTCTGCCGAGTTCGTCAACCGACTTTTCGGACTCGGGCATAGGAGGTGCCGGGTCGACTGAAGCAAAGTCACTAGAATAATGTATTAGCGAGAAATTCAAGAGCATCAAGAATACAAATCATTGGCATAGATTTACCTTTGACGCAGCTTCTCTTGTTTCCTTGCCTCGGAGTTTTCCCATTCAATGCGATCAATGGCAATCTCACAAGTCTCCGTAACAACAACTTCCTCGCCAGCACGATCTCTGAATTGTCGGAGCAGATCCAAGCTGGAGGCATTGCCCAAGGCGCCCAGAGCTTCAGCAGCCTCATGTCTGCACATGGGGTCCTCCTTAAGATCTGACAGGACATCACGCAGCGGTGCAATAGCCGCTTCATTTCCGGTCTGTCCAAGGCAATATGCGAGCTCGTGCTTCAGCAGAGCAGAGGGTGAAGCAAAAGCAGCGGCGATGGCTTCGATAGCCGCAAGGGCGGATTCGGGGTCGGTTTTGGCGACATGTTTGAGAGAGAACAGAGCACGGAAGCGCACAGGAAGGGGAGTGTCTTCAGAGCAGAGGCTCTGCCTGAGACTTGCGACAGTAGCGCTAGACATGACGAATTGCAATTTCTATAAAGTTGAGGGTATCTCGAAACAAACGACAAAAAGACAAGTTTGCACGGCTCGTAAACCGAGATGCACGCATCTATCGAACGAAAATTTAGGTGGGGTGGTGGGGTGACACTTTGAATTTCTCTTATCAGATGCCGAACGGCGATTTGCGAAAAAGCGAAAGGGAAAAAAAAAGTAAAAAAATTTCATCAGCGTTTCGTTTATAGTATGCAAATCGATCAAGGTTGGCATGCCATGAGAAGTGGATAACCACTTCAGCGGTTCCATGGTCTAACGGTTATGACTGCGGATTCTGATTCCGCCAGCGAGGGTTCGACTCCCTCTGGAACCTTAGATTCTGTCTTTTTTTCTTTCAATTCTTTTTGCCACGTCATGTCCAACAACTCGATAATAGTTTCCTGATTGTAGTCTATGCATCTTGAACTCTCTTTGGGTTTCGATTTGTTTTTGCCCTTTTCTTAGCACCTTCAAAGATCTGTTCAATGTTTTTCTATTGAATGAACCTGTCAACGTCGGAGAGACACCCCAGAGGTGGCGAATAGCGTCTAATGGCTAGCGCATCCAGCGTCTTCATCCCTTACCCTGTATCATTCTCTTGAAAATCCAAATCCTAGTGCTCCATAACTTCTACAACGTTGGTGCTATTCAATTTCATATCACATGGTTCTTCAAAGTCCATTACTTCAGATTTTCATCCGTTGGCTGCAATAGTGCTGTTGTGTTGCGATCCCGATCTCGGCCAGGCTGGATTACCAACTCCAGCTATCCACTGAGGCAGCTCACATTATTAAGCTTCCATCCACCCTCCAATTCCGGCCCGAAGAATCGACAATTCTCCCACTTCATACAACATCACAGGACCTTTGATACCTGGTACGAACTTTGTCACTCTACTCCGCAAGAATAAAGGAACCGAATCTTTCGACCGTTGAAATCACAGCGGACCATCACTGCAACTCAGGACCTTTATACATACAGCCGCCGCAATGGCGCCATCATTAGAGGAGCCCGAGGCCATCGCCGACGTCCTCGCCAACCCTCTCAAGCAGAAACCCCAACTCGTTGCTCCCGAGCCAGAACACTGTCCAGGCCCCGAATCAGAGCGTGCCGGAACAGCGTCATCATGCGATGGCTGTCCTAACCAGGCCATCTGCGCATCTGCCCCCAAGGGCCCCGATCCAGACATCCCGATCATCACGGCGCGGCTGGAGCACGTCAAGCACAAGATCCTGGTGCTCAGCGGAAAGGGCGGCGTCGGAAAGAGCACATTTACCAATCTTCTCGCTCACGCCTTTTCAACGAACCCGGATAGTACGGTGGGCGTCATGGACGCCGACATTACAGGCCCCAGCACGGCCAAAATGCTGGGCGTGGAGGACGAGACCATTCACGTCAGCGCTACGGGTATGTCGCCCGTGTGGGTGACGGAGAACCTGGCGGTCATGTCAATACAGTTTATGCTGCCTGATAGAGACGCCGCGATTATCTGGAGGGGACCGAAGAAGAATGGACTGATTAAGCAGTTTCTAAAGGACGTGGAGTGGGGAGAACTGGATTTCCTGCTGGTCGATACGCCGCCGGGAACGAGCGACGAGCATCTGAGCGTCAACTCGTTCCTGAAGGAGAGCGGGATTGACGGCGCCGTGGTGGTAACAACGCCACAGGAAGTTGCGCTGCTGGACGTGCGCAAGGAAATCGACTTTTGCCGCAAGGCCGGCATCAGGATCCTGGGGCTGGCGGAGAACATGAGCGCGTTTGTGTGCCCCAACTGCAAAGGTGAAAGTCAAATCTTCAAGGCCAGCACAGGTGGTGGCCGAGCGCTGGCGGAGGAGATGGACATTCCGTTCTTGGGGTCGGTGCCTCTGGACCCGAGGATACGCATGGCGTGTGATTATGGAGAGAGCTTCTTTGACTCGTTCCCTGATAGCCCGGCTTGTATTGCGTTTAAGCAGGTGGTGAGGAATGTAGGACGGCAGCTGGGCTTGGATGAGAAGAGCGTGCTGCCGGAATAGACTTGTCTAACGCCAGAACAGAAGGACAAAAAACATTGTATATAATTGGATAAATAACGAAATCAGGCATAGCAAATGCGATAGTTCCCGTTTTATTTTATTAATGATTCTACGTGGTTAGCTGCGTTGGAACTTCCTCCAAATCCTCTGTCGATTCTATATCAATCACCTTGTTCACCTCGGCCGTGTTGCGTATCAGCTCCTTGGCGCCGGCGTAGAGCATCCTCGTCTCGGCATTGCATGTGATGGGGAGATAGTACAGCAGAACATAAGGCACGGATAACCGTCCGTCGGGCTACATAGTGATGTTGTTGGTTAGCCATGTTAAATATGTATATCGGTATATGGTTGGTAGAGTCCTCGTGGAAAGGGAGGGGCATCGGCTCACCATTGTCAAGGGATAGCTGAGGAGGATGAATCGAGGGGCGTGGTCGGGGAGGTCGTCGGCGATCTCGTCGAGGGATGTGTATGTAACCTTGTCTGCATCCTGGTGGATTTCGTGGGTGGTTTTATCAATCAGGTCTATGCATTTCAAAGAGCCGCTAGTTAGCATCGTATGTTCAACTCTCTCCTCCCCATAGCCAGGACTCTCGTTGCAGCCGCCGCAACAGCAGGAGAGAGACAACCGCGACGTACATACATATAACTGCTTGAGGCTTGCTCGCCCGGGACGTCGTCAAGCGGAACTTGCGCAAGTGCTCTTTGGTCTCGCCGGAGATGTTGTAGAGCCTGGATTCGGAAGCCTGTTTTACCCTCGAGTTAGAGGGGTATCTTTCAACTTGGCGGGGTTGTGATGGGAGGGACAGGACTCGCCATGGCTAGGTAGGAGTTTGTGAAGCTGGAAAGAAGCTGCTGCGGGTGATGTCAAGCCTCTCAGGAGAATTGAAGCAATACAGATCTAGCTGTAGATCAAAGGTGGCACGAGATTGACGGGATTTGATGCCTCCAGAAGCCCAACCCAGCAGTTGATCTCGCCTTATTCTTAGCTCCGGCCCTGATAAAAAGCTCCCCCCCAAAAGTCACCCCCGCTATAAGCCCATTGATTATTCCCCCACATAATCCAGTTGTAATCTATCGCAGCGGCTTTCCGGCCTCGCCCGCAAAAAAAATGGCGTCACGGGCCGTCTTCACGCGCCCTCTTTGTCCCATCGCTGCGGGTTCCGGTTTTTGCTGAAGCTCGGACTCTTGAATTTTCATTTTCCATTCCAATCGTTAATTATCTATTTGAATACGGAATTGAACCCCTCTTCTTCTCTCTATCATTTAGGCTGTTGATGCCCAATTGGAGCAAATTAAGACGCAAAATAAAAAGAGAATAAGAGGGACATTCACGCCTCTTTGACGTCTTACCCGTCTTCCATCTCCACCACCTCTTTTACCCATGTTCTCGCGGCTATCACAGGCTACAACTCATCGCTTACTCACAGCCACATCTCCTTCCTTCATCACCCAATCCCTCGCTCGACCGGCCGCCTTTTCCTTGAAAATGTCAGCCACCGGAAGCAGCACCATCCATACGGCAGCATGCCTAATCATTGGCGATGAAGTGCTGGGCGGAAAGGTATGTAAAATGCACTGCGTTATTTGAGTTGGATGACGAGAAGCTAATGGAATCAAAAACAAACAGACTGTTGATGTCAGTACCTATGCCGAGGTAGAATGAGTGGGGGAGCATGAGTTGACGGGTTTCACAGACAAACTCGGCATACATGGCAAAATGGTGCTTTTCTCTCGGCATCGTGAGTCTTACATCTCGATATTGGTGTTTGAGAACCTTGATGAGCTGACGCCCTATGCGCCGGTGTAGAACCTGAAACGTGTCGAGGTCATCGAAGACGATGAGAGCGATATCATGGAGGCCGTGCGCCGAATGAGCAACCGCTATGATTTTATCATCACTAGGTAAGCGATTCACCATCCAGAACTGAAACACCAAATCATATTCTCTTTCTAATCATCATGAATCCAATCTTCAGTGGCGGCATTGGCCCAACGTAAGAAACGCCCTTCCCATCTTCCATCTATAGTCCCCCCCATCTCACAGCAGTCATCAAAATTTCACAGGCACGACGACATCACTTACCCGTCCATCGCCAAGGCCTTCAACCTCCCCCTCAAGCTCCACCAAGAAGCCTACGAGAAGATGAAGAAGCTCTCAAAACCGCACCCGAAGCAGCCCAACTTTGACTGGAACGTCGATTCGCCGGCCCTCAAGGCTAGGCTCCGCATGGTTGAACTCCCGACAGACGAGTCCCGCGATCTGAGCGAGCAGTTCATCTTCCCGAAAGAAGATTTGTGGGTTCCCGTTGCGGTTGTCAACAGGAACGTGCATATCCTACCAGGAGTGCCGCTGCTCTGTGAGCAACAAATCCTTTACGTTCTTCGGAGAAAACAAGGCTAATGAAATATTTTTCTGTGTCTCATAGTCCAAAAGCTGCTTGACGGACTGAAGCCCCACGTCATCCCCAGACTGGAGGGCAAAGAAACTCACCGAATCTTAATCTCCACACCTCTACCTGAGAGCGAGATAGCGGAGTACCTCACCCAGTTGGAAGCCAAGGCCAAACCTCACGGCGTCAAAGTCGGCAGCTATCCTCGATGGGGCCTGAAACGAAATACAGTTACGTTGGTCGGAAAGTACGTTCTTACTCTAAATCATCATCCCGTTTCTAGAACCCCCAGTTAATGTTTTGTTTCATAGGGATAAGGACTATCTGGAAAGCCTTGTAGCGGAAGCAGAGGAGGCGGTTCAGGGCAAGCGTGTCTCGAAAGAAGACGAGCTCGACGAGGCGGAGAAGAAGCTCTAGTCGAGAAGAAATCTCCAGCGTCGTATGTAGCGTTCACCTCCTCCTCTATACAGGTAGCACAAAATACAAATCTTGTCCTACCACGAGAGAGGACATGCATCTTCTACTACCGTTCCCTCCACTGTCTCGGACCGCGCCTCTCGTCTGTTCCTTGCTGGCTTTTGCCGAAGCGAGCTTCTACGACTCGTACTAGTCCACAACGCCCGGACCCTATCGCGAAAGGCACTGCTTTGGTGTCAGTTCGGACTAGTTAACCGTCAATGTCTCACCCAGAACCCGTGGCATGGCAAGGATGTAATTGATGCCTATTAGAACCCTTGTAGAACCCTAGAGATAGGCGCACAACGACGCGAGACAGGCGTACTGTAGCGGAGGGGAGATGCTATGCACAATACGGTGATAGTGGTGCTAAGTGGGTGTATATCCATCCAGTATATCGTGGCTCGGTCCAAGTGTTGGAGGGCCTGGCGCTGTTTTACGCTCGTGCCATCTTCTCCACGATTCAGCCTACAGCCAAGGCATGTCTAAATGGTGGCATGGCTGAGCTATTGGAAACGCGTAGGTTGAACTATGGCTCTTGATTTCAGCCTCAGGGTAACTACGCCAACGGTATACACGGGCTGTACAGTATAGTATATGTTGCAGATGGAGAGGTATCTTATAGCTATTCTTCCCATACTCCGTCTAATGTTTCTCTCTGTCTTGTTCATCTCTCAAAATTACAATTGAAGAGTCCAAATGAAAACCCTCGGTAATACGTCGACATCTTTTCTTTAAGTGTAAGCCGCAAGCTGGCATTTATACTCGGCAGCACTCTGACACGTTCAAAGCTCAGCTCAGAGCCATCACCGCTGATCAAACCCCACTTGGCTCGTTTCTCGACCGCAAGCCAAGGACGTGACGAACTGGTGCCAATTTAGTCATTTTCCGTATCATCATGGATCCCCAGAGTTGCATCGTTGTCAGCCTCCCAGCAGAAGAGCAGCTGCCCAGTTTGGATCTGACTGGCTCCCCCTTTGGGCTCTCTCTGCCCGGCAGTTATGGATCGAGCAAAAGAAAGAAAAAATCCGGCGAGGGGGGGAGCGGATGAGCGGATTACGTGCATGCAGATATCAAAATCCCCGTAGTCTGCTTGCCGTTGCTTGACTTTGATGAAACCAGCTGTTAGACGGAAGCCAGCTGTTTTACATATGTTGCTGGGACCATCTCAGCTGAGCTAGCAGCACTGGCACTACCTGAGCTGTAACATCGGCACTGATTTTAGACTCTTCAGTACTGCAGGTACGAAGTACAGAATAGGATGTTGGTTCTCTGTATCTGGTAGGTAAGCCAACGTAGGGTGGTAATCCGATGCTACAGTACGAGTATGTGTAATACTCTGCGAGATTCGTGATGGTTGAGCGAAATACGCCAATTTTGCCAATTGATAATGAAGCTAAAAAACAATCAATTGAGATTTGCGGCAGGGCAGAGAGGGGGTGCCAAGACAAAGATTCAGGTGCCTCATCGGAAACACACTATTGCGATGAGAATCTTTATCGAACCGGCCTGTCGTACCCCGTATTACGGGTACAGGTACAACCGATGATGACGTTTTTGGGTCTCAAATATGCTTGAAAATGTAGCACTTTCGCGCAAAAAGAGCTTTCGCCCAGGGCCAAAAGGGGGACAAGGGGGCAAATGGTCGACCGGGAGGGGAGATGAAGAGGCCAGTGGAGACGGTGCGTGTGGAGGTGTCGAATGTGGAGAGCAATCATTCTAGAAGGTTGATAAGTGGCGCGAGATGGAGCTTTTTGGCTTGAGCTTCATTTCAATTGATTGCGGAAGAATATATCCATGCGCGATACCTGATGCTGCTTGAGATGAGATGTGGAAGACGCGATAGGGCAATTCAAGCAGTAGCTTCCCCGAGGATGCGGTCCATGCTAGCTTCAGGTATGGAGTATGTTTATTCTGCCGGTACAGATAGGGCACGAGCTGTATAGCTTGTGCATGTTGTATTTGTACGCATCTGTAGCATAGTTAGTCTGGACATGTAATTACTCTGTCGGGTCAGAACAACAGTCCTTGACTCGTCAATATAGAGCTGGGAACGACAGGGGCTACTAGAGAGAGAAATGGAAGAGCGAGAAAATCCGAAAATTTGTCCGCCTGAGAGACATGATTGACATTGAAAAAAGTGACAGAAGAGGAAGAAAAAATATGAAAAGAAAAAGCTTACCCCAGATGCCGGGTCTGCGCAAATTGCTAATGACGTCCACGCCTCTAGTGTGTGTTGTCCAGGGTCATTCCGTATCAAAATTGGCTTCACAGACTCGCGATCCACCTGCGACGGATCGTCTAGGCTGGTTGGGACCCAAGAAATCGGCACCGGACCGAAAAGAGGACTGCGGCGCCACGACTCGCTCACGATTCGACGGGCGAAACGGGCTCCGAGACAGAAGCTGGTGTCGCAGAGCTGGAAAACGAAGCCTGACTCGCTCGTGTGTTTGTGCGTGCGCGCGCGTCAAGATGCACCAAGACCCAATCATTTCCTCACCTTCAAGCAGTAGTCGAGATGCTAGTAGGCATAGCATCCTCGCAGCGGGCGGCATCTACCATCGTCGAGGCTTTAGACTGGCTCGAGTCGAGCGGCTGTGGTGTTGGTCGTTGGCAACAATGTCCAACCACGGCCCTCTTTTTGGCGCTTCATCTGCGAGGTACTTGTACCAAATACCAAATACAGGCTCATCAAGCGCTTGATCTGCTGCCTCAGGCTCTATCGCGAGGCCAACAACACTGTACAGTAGGTTGCATGTGAGTAATCGGGTCGGCCTGCCGGTCGCATTGCCGCCCGTCTCAACATCTGCATGACAGAGAGCTCAACTTGGGTTTGACCCACGCCCATGTTTGTATGCACGCCCAATACCAATCGCCTGCAAAAGCTCACGCGAGGCTGCATGATATCAGACCTGGCGATGCAGCTCCAGTCGTGTGCTGTGTTGCCCCAACTGCAACCTGCTTCCGGTCGGCGGCAATAGTAGAGCCGGCATGGAACAGATGTACGAGTAGGTAGGATTCATTCACTGGATGGGGTTGATGGTTCCGCGAGACCCCCAAGATGTGAATGTGGTCGAGATGGAGGAGCACATACACACACGCCCAATACACCAGCAACTGTTCACCCATCCATCCATCCATGGATCGAATCGGGTTCCGCACTTTGGGCAAAAGTCGAAAATGGTCTCATTGTTGAAGTGAACTGGAGACCAGTTTGATTGGCGCAGGGGTAGTTAAGGTAATTGCACCTCCACCAGGCCATCGTGCTAGTACTCGTACGGCATAGCAATCGAGCTGTAATTGATGCTAGCAGTGGTAGCACAGCGACTGTACGGAGTGCGAGTAGCGAGCTGCGATTGATGCGTCAGGGGCGGCAACGAAGAGAGACAAGCATCAGGACTCTCGTTGATTATGAATGGCGCCATCCGAGGAGCAGAGGCCACTCTCGGGCAGCAATTGACGACCGGGGTGTTGCTTTCAACAAGCACCCATGGATCATCAAGCAGCTTACCCCGGCTATACATACATGTCCAGGTACGAAGTAGCAGTAGCACCAACTTGTCTGCCGTTAAATTTGCAACGCGAGCGGCGGAAGAACCGGCTCGAGTTGCCGCGACATTGACCGGATCTTTTTTCCTGCTTCTCTCGTGTGTAGATGTTGTATGTGCGAGTATCGTAACATCGTGTAATACTGCCACTGCCGCTTATGGCCAGAACTCCATGTCTGATGCGATACGGAGCACAAGGACTCTGGATTGCCGAACCAAATCCAGGGGCTGGGTAGCGAGAAGCGACGCGACGGCAGACGAGACGAAGCAACGTTGATGCTTGGCTTGGTAGAAGTACGGTTGAATTGATGGTGTAGAGAAGTACTCGTAGAGCATCGGAGTACTTGCAGTGTTTGGTGCGACGGAAGGCACTACTAACGGTCGCCACGTGAAGCCGGATATTACAGGTCCCCGGTTGTACTTTCTTTCCATTGTCTTTTCTTTTTGATCGCTTCTACTTCTTTAGCGAGAGAGACATCGCTTGGCTTATCTCGAGGCCAATGCCAACGATGCCAATCAATGCTGAAAATAGCATGTGAGTATCGAGCCTACATGGTTGTACGGAGCAGTGGCAGCAGCAGTGATTGATGCTACCGGTCTGTGCTGGCACTTTGGCCACAACATCACGGCTGGCCTGCCTGTTTGGTCTGGTCATTACAAAGAACGAGGGCATGTCATTGACGGAAATAAGACGAAGGTGGCATCGACGTCAAAGGAGGTTTTGTCGGTCAAAGACGGCATCCAAATCTAAGGCACGGGGACATCACGGATATCGCCTCACAGAGTGCACGTGCTTACATGTAGTCAAAGAGACGGAGGATCTGGCGAATCCTTTGTCTTTGCTGCCGTGAGCCCTGAAAGGAGAATTTGGAAGAAAAAGGAGCTGATTGAGAAACATCTACGGTCAAAGCTTGATACTTTATCTCTGTCTTGGTTGCAGCTGTGTTTGCCTGAAATGACTGTAACTGTAAGTGTACACACTCCGGACACAGGATGTGTATTATACCCTTGTCTTCAGCGGACAAAGCTAGTGTACTCGTACGAGACATTCAATGCAATTGAAGAAAGAAAAGAAGCTTGGACCTCGTGTAAGCTATTCGGCAAAAGAAGATTGAAATTATAAAGAAATGGAAAAGAGAAGCACACGGAGAAAAAAACAGCTCGTGAAGGTGGAAGCGAGGAGCTAATATCAGTTGATTAATGGCAGACGCAAAATGGAGCTCACGCCCCCCCACACGAACTACGATGGTGCACTTGGACCGATTCGCAGACCGAGGCACAACGGCCGCCGTCTCTTGATGGGGACGGATGCGGATCATGGCGACCGAGTTATAGCTTCGAGAAGCCAGTATCTACGGCTGTTGAAGGAACGTGCGAAGAAAAGAAGAGGATGAAGCAAAAGGGAGATGGCGACAGACAACGGAAGAGACTCCAAGCTGGGAGAGAGGCAGACAGCGCAGACAAGCAGCAAGCAAGGGGGTTGCGCTAATAACATCGTCCTCCACTTTGGGCACATGCTAACTCTGTACGAGCAGCCCGTGGTAATTCCGCCTGATGCTACTGTACCTTTATATCTCCCGGTAAAGGATGCGTGAGGGTGTCGCGTTCTAATTTTTTTTTTTGCCTCCATCGCTGGCGCGTGCCCTTGCATTGAAAGCTGCGATGCCGACTGGCTGCGGTCCGGGGTACATGCTACACGCACCTCGACACATGCACGGCCTAGGGAGTTAGTTGCAGCGGCAGACGCGCATGTATGGAGTACTTTGGGCCGTCGCTGCACAGTGATGTGATGAGCGACTGGCAAACATGAATCAGAACGAGACGGGAGGACGAAAGAGATGCCATGACAAAGCGGCCGGAAGGGGTCCGGGCGTTGACAAGGGGGGAGCCAGGGAGAAGAAGCCAAAAAAGGGTGATTTCTTGAGTGAAATATGAGAAAGATGAAGTGAAATCAAGCAAATGGGGTGCTCGTACTGGGGGGACGCTAGCACTTTGAGACTACGACAGTAGTACCCGTAACTTGTACTTTGACGAGTTGAACCCAGACATTTGATGGATGGATGCCATGCAAACAACGTTGGACAAACATTTGGTGAATGTTCGCATGCCGTGGTCCGTATCTGCAGCACTGGCGTCCACATCAGATGTACACGGCCGGTTACCAATCAATGCTTGTACAAACAGAGGAAGACAACAGCACAAGAGAGAGAGAGATTCATGTTCTCCTTTATTCCGCGTATGTACTTCGTAGTGCTTGCTCCATTATCGAGGTCTACATTAGGCACAGGCAAGCATTGGCAAAAAAGCATTGACTGGCACTTTTACGCGCGCTCTTGAAAGCAGTCAATGGAGTGATAGGGAAATCAAGGTGCGCTAGTCAAAACCCCATGCTTGCTTGAAATGCACTTCGCAGCTCCCTGCGGCAAGGCGCCACTCCGACCTCCTGTCCGGCTGCAAGTACCCCGTCGCGGAGTACCAGGTACTGCGGATTGTGTGGAGTACAGGTATCAACCGCCGGCCCTTTTTTTCTGGTGCTTCAATTCTTTCAATCACTCTTTCATCATATCGTACAAAGTGGCACTGCGTGCGAAGTACATGCCTGTCTTGGTAAGAAGATGTCTCAAGCTGTGAAATCTTTAAACTTTCCTTATCGAAAATGTATCATATCATACTGACCCCATCATCTTGTGTTGGGCGAGCATTATCAGCTTCGATGTACTTCCAACTCCATACCTCAAGTCTGGTGTCTTTTTTCCCCCGTGTTCCCTCTCGCCTTTTTGCTCCGCACCCCTTTGGTTTGCTGCTAAACCAGGGACCAGCAGGGGGATCCAGCAAGCCACTTGGGCCGCTGAAGCACCCGATCCGCCGCTCCTTGCACAAGCCTGGACCAGTCTGGCTTCTTTTCACAGCAGATAGCAGCATCAAGCATCAAGCAGCACCGGGCTCATGAATGTACCCTCTACCAGCGCGCGTGTACCTCTCGTCGCACGCTGGTGCCTGCTAGCCTCACAGCACTCCCCCAAAAAGGGCCCTGAACCGCTCACCACCCCCTCGATCGCCCAATCCGGGCCCGCCTTCGCCTCCACCAGGGCCAGCCTCCACCCCCCCAAGACCCCCCTTCTGCTGCTAACCTGAACGCCTAGGCACTGCTAGGGGACCATTGCTAGGGACACCGACCAGGTGCTACTAGGGGCCCTGGCCTGCTCCATGGCCTGCTCCCCAGCAGCGCAACCAGCCAATCTCTCAGGGCCGTCCAGCCTGCCGTTCGACCAAGGTTCCTTTCCAGTTCCTACTGCAATCCGCGTTCCTCCTCAGAACCTAAACCTCTCCTTCACCCTTTGCTTTTTCCCGTATTCCACCCCTCTTCCATCTCTCGTCTTCCATCTTCCATCTTCCTCATTCATTCCTCTCCCAATCGCCCTCTGCGGCTCTTCTTCTCTGCTTTGCATTGTCTTCTGGCCAGCTCTGTTTTAATTTTCTTTTCCTCTACAACCTCCAAACTACGAAGCTCTCAAAACCATCCTCTTCCCTACTCTCCCTACCAGAGCCGCCTTTTTTCTTGTCCCTTCATTGGCTGAGGTACACCTCCTGAAGCCAAGAAGCAGAAAAAAATATTACACAGCTGCGGAAGCAATCCTTTTTTCCCGCTAGCATCATCAATCAGTGCCTTTTACAATGGCTTCAGCAACCAAGGTACGTTGATCAACCTGTCTCTCTGCGCGCGCGTTTTTTCTTTGTCTCCCCTTGTCCTCCCCCTTCTTTTGCCCTTTGCTTTAGCCTGTTCTGTATAGCTAACATTAGCTGCTTCGCCTGCTAGTTCCTGCGAGAGTATAAGCTCGTAGTTGTCGGCGGTGGTGGTGTCGGTAAATCTTGCTTGACCATCCAATTGATCCAGAGCCACTTCGTCGACGAATATGATCCCACAATTGAAGGTTCGTCGCTTTCCCGCAACAGCTCAATGCTACCCCTTTTCCGGGCTTCGCGGCTCGCGAATACCGTCTCCCTATCCGCCACCCGTCTACCTTTGCCCTCATCTGGCTTGAGTATCCGAATCCTTGGCTAATTCGTCGACAACGACAATAGACTCATACCGAAAGCAATGCGTCATTGATGACGAGGTCGCCCTGCTCGATGTTCTGGACACTGCCGGCCAGGAGGAGTACAGTGCCATGCGAGAGCAGTACATGCGCACAGGAGAGGGTTTCTTGCTGGTTTACTCAATCACATCACGACAGAGCTTCGAGGAAATCACAACTTTCCAGCAGCAGATCCTGAGAGTCAAGGACAAGGACTACTTCCCCATGGTGGTTGTCGGCAACAAGTGTGATTTGGAGGGCGAGCGAGAGGTCACCAGGCAAGGTAAGCAACCATCGTACTCTGTCATGAGCTGCTGTACAAGTGTCTAACGTGGGATTTTCTACCTGAACAGAGGGTGAAGCGTTGGCGCGATCATTCAACTGCAAATTCATCGAGACGTCGGCCAAGTCCCGAATCAATGTTGACAAGGCCTTCTACGACATTGTCCGCGAGATCCGAAGATACAACCGTGAGATGCAGGGTTACTCAACCGGCAGCGGCACCAACTCTGGCGCAAACCCTCCCAAGCCCATGGATATTGAGGGCGAGGAGCAGGAGGGCGGCTGCTGCAAGTGCGTCATCATGTGAGCGCCACAAACCATAATAGGGAGGCTGCATTGTCTTGTTGTTCATGATGATAGAGGCGACATTCATGGTGGAAACGGGAGGCTTTTGGACGCTCAATGGCATGGCATGGAGTGTGCATGCAACACCACGCGCGGCTGGACGGCCTTGGACGATCGACGAGCACGATACCTCTCAATGCATCGGACGGGGAGTCGGGTTCTGACTTGGGTCGCGCATTCGGATTTTCTTTTTTTAGTTGCCTTTTTATTTTTTCATGTCTTGTTCTATTTCGATGAAAATATTCTCCGCGCGTTGGTGGGAGATGGAACCGACGGGGTCGCTGTGTCAAATGGTACACACAGCCTGGGAACCCCCCTGTCAAGAGCGCGTGCTGGCGAAAGAGGGCTGTCTCGTTAAAAAGAAAAAAGAAGGCTTGGGAGCGATTTTGAACGAAAGGGGGCTGGAGGCGTGGATGATGACGAGGGTGTTTCGATACTGCGCCATGCGTGTGTGCGTGCAGGCGAACAAAGGCCTCGGGGGGGACCATGGCCATTAATTCCCCTCTTGGGCTTTGCGAGGATGGTTTTCTCAGACTCTGAAACTACGGGTCATACGTTCTTCTCTTATATCCCATTATTTCACACGTGTAATTTCATTTTTTTCTACTTATTGACTGTTAACTTGCATGGTAATGAGGATTCGCTTCAAGATTCTACCGTCCTTTTTGTATCTAGGACCAATCAATTCTACTCGGGTGCCTTTTGGGCCTTTGAACTCTTTGCTCACCTCTGGTTGTTTTTGATTTTTTTCTTCCTTCTTTCCCCTTTTCTTTTCTTTTCCCTTTAGAACGTCTTGACAGTTTCTTTTTCTTTTTCTTGTTTTACTTCATTTTGATCTTCCTTTTCGCTTCGTTTTTTCTTTTCCCTTTTCCTTTCTCTTTTACCCCTCCTCTTTTTCTTTCTCTTTTCGTTGATAAGACCAATAAAAAGCAACTTGTAATCTTTTGTCTCAAGTTAAGTGGCGTGGGTGACTCGGTTGGCTTCAAAAATACCTTGGGTTGTCTAGTGCGAGTAAAATAGACTGACGTTGAATGGTGAGACGGCAAAAACGCGGCCGGGTACAAGCTACGGAGGATTTCAGGTGCTGAAACAGGTCGTTTGAGTGTGTACATCATACCCTTGTAATTGTGATCGGTTTGCTAACACATCTTGGAAGTTTAATCGTGTAGAGTTGAAAAATGGAACTACTCCGTACTGGGCACCGACGTAGAGTTCCGACTTATCGTCTTGGTGAGTTGCGTACATACTTTAACAGAGAATAGGCTCAATATTTGTCTTTCAAATCTTGTTAATTGTTAATGACAATAGACTACTCGTACATGGTCTAACAAAACCCTCCTTCTGGGTTATGAGAAAGGGAAAAATAAAGCAAGTATTCAACACCGCGTCTACCAGTTCTTGGCCTCTTGATGCTAACGACATGCATCCAGTAACGACAAAAACAGCTAGATCGGGCGGTGAACAAGAGTCCAAGATCCCCCCCAAGAGGCCTCTTCGTTGGACTCGGACGCATCCCGTTCTTGAGCTTCCTCTCCAACTTCCCGTGCATTTCGTCCTCCATCTCGGCCTCCGTGCTCTGCTTCAGGTTGTTCGTACAACGTTCCCTCTTGGATCCCGTTTGATTCTTCGTCCCAATCCATTATCGATGGCTCCCCAAAAGATACCTGGTCTCCATTCGATCCTTCGTCCCAGTACGTTACAGATGGCGATGGCTCCCCAAAAGATGCTTGATTTCCAGTTGCGTATGACCGAAGCTCTTCCTCTCCCTTCAGCTCCTCGCTAGATATTTCCTGTACACCATGCTCAGTTTCTTGCTCTTCTACATCCTGGCTCCCATATACATTGTTGATAATTACCCGAGGTATCGAAACTATGGCTTTGGGCCCTTGCGGTCCAAAGATGCTCATAGTTGGTTGATTCAGGACCAAGTCGCCGCAGACAAGACACTGCCAGGCAGTGCATTTGGCCTGGTTGGCAGCCCACTGCCGTCCCTTAAAGGCAACTACACGAGGCTGGCTTCCCTTGAGACAAACAAAACAGGGTTTGGCGCCGTATTTTTTCTGGCACCAGTCTTGCATCTCCTGAGCCTGCTTCACGACCTCGTCCCCATACTTGAGACGGTGGCTGTAGCAAAGGCGTCGGTAGAGAAGTTTCGTTCCGCATAGGCATCCAGTGATCTTCTGAGCGTCGCCCATGAAAGTGATAGTGCCGCCGTCCTTGTTGAACGGGACGGGAATACGACTCGCAAGGGGGAAATCCTGGCATTTGCCCCAGACCTTGAGGTCGCTGGTGAGCCTGTTCCGCAGCACGGGGCGGACGTCTTTGCTGACTTTCTCAGCGCAGTGGTTGCAGAGGTACGCGCGCATGTTCTCGATCGCGGCTAGGTCGAACGAGCTTCCGATGCTGACCAGCTCGAGGGCGCTCGCTTTGCTGCAGTGGTCGCAGACGTGGACGCGGTCTTCTTTTCCGTGAGAGCCGCTTTGACAGATGGAGTCTGCCGCGACCTTGTGCTCGCAGAACTGAGCGTCTCGAAGTTCTAGGCATTTGTTAGGAGTGCTTGGTGCAACGTGCCTCGCACGTCGCGGTATGTCGTTGAGGACATTATTGAAACCACTGCTTTCCCCGTTGATCTTGTCTGAAGCGATGCCAAACGAGGCTTTCTTAGGGTTCTGCTCCATTTGATCAAACTGGCTCGTCATCTACCGGTGCAGTCTCATCAAGCTGAGGAACGTCTTCAAGGAGTAGAGGCGTCGAGTTGGTTACGTCGCCTAGAATAGTCATGCATAAGGCGATATCTCTCCTTGTTTGTTCGGGATCTATCCTGGGATCTGTGTTAGGATTATTGAATGGAAGCGGATTGAAGTCGACAAATTCCGTACGTAGTCTGGGATCGATATTGGCTTCTCTATCTTGCTCGTCGACGAGAATCTCGGGTGGATTAATTTCCAAACCCGCCAGCAAGCTGAGATCGATATCGGTGCGTATGTCAGATTCACCAACGGGAAACTGATTCGAGGAGAAGTTGAGATATGGATCGAGGTCCGCATGGAAATCGCTAGAAATAACCTGAGGCGGGTAGAGTCTGGCAGCTGGCACGCAGGGGCTGGGATAGAGATTCAGACCGAAACCAAGATCCATGTCGACTGGCAAATCTGGGCTGAACCTGACAGCTGGCAGCTCCTGGTCAGAAGGAGCTGCAATGGTAAAGTAAAATTGCGGATTGGGCCACTGAGAATTGAGAAATTGGAGTGCTCCTGCTCCCTGGCTCATGACATTTTCATTTTCATTCTCATTTCCATTTCCATGGATGTAACCCATCGCATCGGCGGTCCCGTTGCCATCAATATCCATTGGCATTGGTAAGAAAGCCATGGCATCATCATTCAGGAAAGGAATCGGAACCTGAGCTGACACAGGGACAGGGCTGACGATGGCAGAAACAGCAAGATTATGGGCAGCAACATTGCCAGCAACATCGACGCAACAATGCTCTCCGCAATCAGGGCCGTGTGTGAAGCTCCTCGGTTCGTTGCTCAGGAATTGCTCGGCGCGGAGACGAGGCTTTCCGCTGCGAAGATTCTGCACAAAGGACCTTGCCGCTTGGATACAATCTTTGTATCCCGGAAACTCGTTGATCGGGTGATGTTGAGGATAATTGGATTCGATCCATGCCACAATGTTTTCCTTGGTTATCGCGCTCGCTGGTCCAAACATGACCCCGTTCTGAGCGACATCACCGTGAGGAGGCTTTCCGTATGGAAGCAGTTTTCCTCTTAAATCAGCGGCGAATGAGGCGACGAGTTGCCTATTGTCCCTCCCGGGGATCATGCCGTATATGCTTGTCAACGGACCTACCCAGTGTTCCACGGCAGATCCGTCTTTGACATCATTGACACCATTGGCACCGTATCCCAACGCGAGATAATAGAGAGGCCCAGGAGGCGGATCTAGTCGACCGTTTATACAATACCTGGCTGTATCGCCCGCGAAGGCATCGCACTGGTCGCCGTGCTCGACGCATGAGTCACACGGGCGCTGCAAATCGCAGTTTCTCCCTTTCTTTATGCAACACGAACACTGGATAAAGGGCAAGTGTAAGCCGATGCCAACTCTGGCCAGGTCGAAGATGGGATAATACGTGCCATTGCCACTATCGACACAGTCAATGCCGAGCTCAGCACAACGAGTACACGCATAACGATAATGCCCGGCATCAGCATGGCAGTGACCGCTCTTGTCCTCGAGACATCTCTTGCAGGTGCGACGGGTTGTACCGGTTTTCCTACAGTCAACAAATCCAAATTCGTGTGTGGCGGCGACATTCCACACTCTGGGGAGAGTCAAGGTTGGAGGCTCGCCGATGAGGCGTCCGCCGTTGAAGCACACCAGGTTGCGGGATTGACAGTTGAAGCAGGACTTCTTTCGATTCGCTCGATCCCTGAGCCAACTGCATCCGATTGTGGTCCTGCCATTCTTCGTCATGTGCTCACAATATTGGCATTCTGTACGTGTCCAAGGATCACCGAGGGAAATGACAGAACTGGGCGCTGCCTCCAACCTGTGGCCGTTGAGTGTACAGTTACCATCTCGGCAGGCCTTTGTTGCTGTACAGCCGTAGTTGAGAATGGAATCGATGTTGCATTGGTTGGATTTGCCGCTTGTGATGCACTGGTCGCAGGGTTGCGCCGGATAAGTCGAAGGATGGCCTATGCCGTACCGGCGCCAGACCTTTTTATTGCGCAGAAGCTCATGAGGTTCACACTTGATTTCTTTGTCTGGATGCTCCGAGCGGTAGTCGGCACAGTTTTGACACTCGAGAATGTCTCCGTTCGCAAGTGTTTCGTAATTGCATCCCCTTACTTGGGCCAGTTTCCTGCCTCGGGTATCGTGTAAGCAGAATTTGCAGCATTGTTTAATTTTCTTCGCCGGTGGACCGTTGGCATTGGGATCATTATTGGAATTGCCGTCATCGTCTTGTTCGTAAGTATCGCGGTTTCTCCTTTTTGTGGACGTTGGGTCGCCTGTAAGGGTCATTTCAAGACCCTTGTTCTTGATTCTATCTGCGGGACTGGCCATGATATCGAACTTTGGATACTGCACTCTAGGATACGATGCTAACTTGGTAGCTAATGTTGAGTTGAATGTGAAGTATTTTCTACAAAGATGGGTTCATAGATCAAGGGCATATATGCTAATTATATAGAGACTTTGAGTCGTCTTTTATCACATTCGCGAGTGTAACATCTTGGACACATCTTGTTGACAAGATGATTTAGTGTTCAGAAACTGTTTCACCAAATCGAAACGGCGGTAAGGAAAATGGCTTTGTCTACTTCATTGGAACAACCAGAGGGAGATAGAGTCTGTACAAGAACAATTACAAGAGAACGGATGGCTGCAGATTGGGGCGAAGCCTACGAAAGGAACAATTGGAAGAGAGGTTCAGATGAGAGAAGAATAAAGGAGAAAAGCACTTCCAAGTTTCGGACTGATTTGAAGAAACAAAGAAAAACGGGAAGACACTGAATGGTAGGGATTGTGAATACAAAGAAAATTCTTTATTTAGAACAAAATAGTAGCTGCCTACCAAAGAATCCTTTATTTTCACAACAACATTGAAACGTGTTTGTTCAATCTCGCGAAACAAGTGGTTGTGAGTTGACAAGAGAACAAGAACAAAACAGTCGCACAAATTTTGGACCTCAAAGGCGATAATTAACAAACAACACTTCCATTGTATACACTGTAAACCTACAGCAACCATTGCATCTACACCGTCTAAAAAACGCCCCCCTTTGAAACAACAGAAACCAACTCAACTCCATCAAGCGTTCAAACAAGCTGCTTCTTCATAAACACCGACGGCACCGAAATCGCAATCCCCGTCTCCTGGTCCACCCACTTGTACATCTCGTCAACATAACAAATGATGTCGTACCCCTGGCGCGTGTACCACTCCTCGTTGGAGCGGAAGTCTGCGCTGGCGACCTCGGAGCCGCGGATCTTGTTAAAGATGGCGATGCTCTCGGGGGTGGTCTGGAACTTTTTCGTCGTGGTGTCGAGGGCCATGACGGTGGCGTTGAGGGGAGGGAGGGCGGCGAGGCGCTCGAGCTGGTGCATTGCGGAGCGGCCGAAGCCGCCGGCTTGGATGGCCCTGATGGTGATGATGAGAATGAGTATGAGATGGGGAATGAGTAGTGATGTTGAGATGAGGGATGATGTTGAGATGAGATGAGATGAGATGAGGGAGTAAACGAGAAAAGAGTCTTCTTGCAGACGTACCATGAAATATACAGAGACTTGATCCATACGGTGGAATCGGGCAGGGAATACTGTTCCTGGCGTTCCGGATATAATTCAAGGGCAATGTGGCCGATGGGGATGAAGGAGATTAGCGTTGGTGTTCTCGATGACTTGCCCAGAGTTTCTGCTGTGTCGACGATGGCTTCTTTTTCCTGAACAACAAAGATAAGCATTTATTGACATTTCTTTTTGAGAATCATCTCTCTTGCTCGACTTACTTTCGGAAATCTTTCAATGTGTTTAGCCAGATAGTCGGCTTTCTCAGGCAACTCATCGTTAATCGTCTGTTACCGCTCGTTGTCAGCCCTTCAAGTCTCCTTCACTCTCATCCCCAAATCTCACACAAGGAAAACTCACAATCCAGTACATGAATTTCGTCCCCTCGCGCACTTTGGCCCTCCATTCCTCAATCAAGTCGTAGTCCCACGAACACGCCAGGCGCTGCTCGTATAGCCGCTTGCACTGGGCCTCGCTGTTGGGATCAAAGGGGATGAGAGTGGCTGAGCCGTATTTGGGCGAGTTGATGAATTCCTGGGGCGACATGCTGTCTGTGTCTCTTCTGTTATTTCTTCCTTTGCTTCTTCTCTTTTGTCGGTGTGTGTCTGTGTGTTGAACTGAAAGAGAAGGAAAAAAGACCTCTTTCTTCTCTTTGTCTTTATGCTTGTTCTGTTCTGTTTAATATAATGAACTGATTGAACAAGAGTCGTCTGAAAACAAAAGAAAGAATGAAAGAGACAGAGGAAAGAACAAGTTCGGTGTGTCTTACATACATATGCAAAACAACTAAAAAAAATGACTCCCCGGCGTAACTAACAGCCCAAAACCGCACCCCAGATCCAATCTCAGTCACAACCCCCACACACACTCTCGACTCGTAATCCGTATAACTAAAAGCTCAACTAATAAACTTGAACCCACTCCCCTCCAGACTTCGTTCTTCTTTTAGCCTCCCAGTTTAACGGGCGCCCGCCTTGCTGCTTTGTCTTCTGACTCATGCACGACCGGGGCTCTAGTCTCTCAATTAGGCAAAGACTAAACTTCATCCAGGATGCCCGATCTGGTTACTTGTTAAAAAGTGCTAGAATTGAGTTTTGTTAAGCAACTTTGAGGCACTCCCGCTTGTTCTGGTTTAGGTCTTACGCACAGAAAAGTCCGAGTTGTAGATCTAACGACTATTGACCTGCATGTGAATGATTCCATATCATTCAGCGGTACTTGCCGCTTCCTTTGTGTCAATTTGCAGCCATTAAATCCCTCGTATCTCTTTCATTGTTGCCTAGGTATTGAATAGCTTAGTAGTTGCTCCTTGACGGAAATAGATATAGATTCAGGTTGTGTGTAAGCACCTTGTCAGTTACTCAGCATACCTATATAATTAGAATACATATCAATATTCCAACGTTGTATATCAAGACAAACGCCGATACAAGAGCCAACAAGACCGCCATCAGCGTTGCTAAATTTACATCTTCGGTATTATTCCTATTCTCCTCGTCTACTACTCCTTTCTGGTAAAAATATATGTCTCTATCTACTGTAATATTCGGATATTTGCATAGTCGGCCTCCCCCATAGAACAACCCAGATTTCCTCCCTCCCGATAAGTCCTCAGCTCCATATGCCCGTTCATCACCATATCGTTAAATTGTTGTCGATTCCTTGCTTCAATAATGTTCTTCTTCTCTGTTCTTGGCCCACCCTTGACTTCGCCTTCAAATTCCAGCCCCGGACCCTCTCTTACAGTTCTCTCCCCCATTAACTTTGTGCTCTCTGAAACATACACGCTTGCATCGCCTCGCCCTACATTGTCCTCAGGTCGGATTCATGTTAATCGACGATTCCTATGCTCGGAACCTCCCTCATTTGCTTCACCCTCCCCAACCCCTTATTGGTATTTGCTGTCAAATGGTATTTTCTTTCATTTCAAATTTGCTCTCTTTCCATATTTGCTTATTCGTCCTTGAATCCACCTCAGCCGGCAAACTGGAATCTGGTTGCCTCGAGCTGTCCGAGGCCGTCTCGAGGAGCAACGTTACGGCGCCGATATGTGTTGGTAAAGTCTTGCAGTAGCACCCTCACGTGTCGGATACCTCCGGCCTCATTCACCGCAAGTCGCTCCTTGATCTTGGCCATCAGTCTGTTTGCTTCTTCCGGAGATACAGTGCCTTGAGGCAGTAACTGGATAGTGCGCGAGACCCATTCCGTCGTCTCCACGGGCAAAAGCTCGAAAAGACTAAGCAAAACGCCACTACCGTCCGCGAAGCAGTCCCTTGGGAAGGTAATCATCATGCCGGCCATGCACTGCTTTACCAGGTTTTCACCGTGGCTGGCGAGGAGGCTCTTTACTATAGTCCTGATTTCAGCCGCGGTTGCTTCCGGCAGCCCCTCACTGGTGGCCGGGTTGTCGCCACCGTATGACAGCAGATCCCTCAAGAAGTGAAGAGTGGAAGAAAGAGGATCCCGCTGCTCCAGCGTCAAGGCGTAGATGGAGGCCTCGAAGATGGGCACCAAGAGTGGGGACGGCACCAGCTTCTGAGGATAGTACAGCAGCGCATCAATAAGTAGTCGGAAGAAGTCGTCAATCACGTCCGGCAGCTCCTTGGGCTGTAGCTCGGTCATGACTCTCAGGAACGTCGTCATTTGCGCTTCAAAGAACGTGTAGATATTTTCGGTGATGGATGGATCCACGTGCTCCCGTGCCTCAGAGAACTCTCGCAGAATGGCAGACGTGACCCAGAGGAAACAGCCTTCCCTAGAGACATTGAAGCCGCTAGCCAATTTGTTTGCCATGTCCGCCAGCATGGGCGCGATCGCAGTACGGTAGGAAATGACCATGTTTCTCCAGCACCTACATACTCTCTCACAGATAGGAGAGAAGGTGAGGAAGTTGTCCAGGACGGTAGACAGAATAGGGAAGATCTCCTGCCAGTACTTAACTGCAGGATTCTCCTCTCCAGGGTTAATGAGTGGCATCACATTCTGCACAAAGATGGTGATGAGCTGTAGGTGATCTGTCATTTCGAAACCGTTAGCAGGAGAGCTGGGGAAGTAGAAGGGAGAAAATGGGGAGAAATAAGTCATTACCTGCTACGGCCAGTTTACCCTCGTCTGTGGTCGCATGGTTTGCCTTTGTCATCAGCCTTTGGACCAGAGGATCGCAGTACGTCTTGAGCAAGCGATAGGTCTCGGAAACAGGCTGGACAGCGAGGACATTGGAAACGCCCTCGGTGACCTCCTCCTTGCTGAGATCCGGCAGCTTATCCAAGACCTGGTCATAGAACGTCTGAAGCTGCAGCACTTGGCCGCTGAGGAGATGCTTGCAGTCGGTGCAGAAAAATTTGAGAGACAGCGCCGCCGCGCGGTTGATTTCTCGTGAGTCGGACTGGAATGAGTTGACAATGTAGTTGAACTGAGGCTCCAAGTACTCGGGGTGAGCCGCCGTCCACTCCGTATAGCGTCCAAGCACCATGATGGTGGCAAAGCGCAGCTTCTCGTGGCTAGGCATCTGCACCAACAGGGGCATCAGCTGAGGGAGAACGACATCCTCCTCCTTGTCCACCATGCGGCCGAGGGCACGCATCGCAAACAGCGGAGCCTCAAGCTCTTGCCAATGCGGCACTGTTGCTTCGGTGGCCTGGCTTGCGTATTTTTGCGTCCACAGCTGGATGGCATGAAGCACCTTGGTGAGGCACTCGGTGACGCCCATTACTTCACAGCAATCCTTGAGCGTGTCGCCCATTTGGTGTCGGAACTCGCGAAATTTCTCTTCTTGCTCGCGGTCTCCGTCAAACAGATCCGTTTCGCTTCCAGACTCCGGTCGTGGGTATTGCAGATGCAATAGAAGAATATCCACAAGCTTGGAGAAGACATCGACCAGCTCCAGTCTACCTTGAATATATCTTTCCAGCACCAGATACTGCTTCAGTTCATACCAAAAGTTGAATGTGTGCTCGATAACCTCTCGATCCTTGTCTCGGGCGGCGCATTCGAGGACAGCGTCAACGAGGGGCCGGAATTGAGTTGGCTGTCGTGCAATGGCCACCACCCAGCTTTCGGCTGCTGTTGCTAGAACCTTGGTTAGAGATTTCAGCCCTTCGGTATCCTCTTCTTCGACGAGGGTAGCAATGCGCGGCGTCAGACTGATGATTCGGGGGAATAAAGTCTGGATAATATCTTGGGATTCGTCAACGTCGCCCGTCTCTCTTAACATCGTGCTCAGACACTCTGCAGCCTCTTGACTGCACCCGTCAGATGCTATCCCATGGAAAATCGCATCCAGAAGCGGTGAATTGGCGATGGTGGCCACGGGGACTTCGCGAAGCCAGGATGTGATGCATTCCATCAGGAGTGGGTTTTGAGATGCGGCAGCTAGGGAAAATCTCATGTCAATCTTCCTTTCTGTCTTATAGAGAGGCGATGGGGGTTGAAACCCCAGGGGACAGAATAACTTACGTGAAGACTGCGAATAATTGATGAGAAGCTGCACGACTTGGTCTGCATTATCTCCCAGCAATGCCTGCGTCCGCAATGCAAGGTCTTCTTCCTATTTCCAAACAATTAGATGTATTCTTCGAGGGTGACTACCGACCGGCCGAAAGGGTAATCGATGAGGGCCAAGCGTCGCGCCGATTTTTTATAGAGTATCGCAATCCACGTACAGACAAGGTAATTTTTCGACCTTCAGTCACCTCCTCGGGAAGGACTCGTAAAAAGTCGAGGATACAAGCATGGCTCTCGGGGCTGTCGCTCAGGGACTGGACAACCGAATGGAGCACATCGTTCCAATCCTTCATTTGGATCGCCAGAATGGCCAGACACACGCATAGCTGGACCCGGATGGGTTTCGGTCCGGAGGCGTAGTGCTTCAGAAGGAGCAGAATCTGATTTCGAAGTGCGGGCAGCTCGTTCGGAGGCACCTGAGTGATGAGATCATAGGTGATCTAGTATTGTTAGTAGTCTGCGGACAAACGCATGATGACAAGAAAATGGAACAACCTTTCCACGAAGTGTGATGGCGGCGAAGAGTGTCGCCTCGGGCTCGGCCTTGGACTGGAGAATCCCAATTACTGTTCCCCACGAGTCCTTCTATAGATTAGACGGGTGGTGATGATTAGCAAGCTGTAAGCTCCAAGCTGAGAGCTGGTCAACCAGACGAGCAGGCGGATTGCGACGTACCGATTTCTGGAACGCCTCCAAGTATTCGTGCGCCTTCTTCTTTGCCTCCTGCTCCCCGCTTCGCATCGTCATGACGGCACCTAAGACGTCCGTAGGCGCAAAGGCCTCCTGCGTGCCGTTCGAGGCCATCTCGGGCGCAAAAGAGAGAGACAGCTGGGGAGCTCAGAGAAGACGAGATGCCGACAGAATCTTTTCAGCGCGGATTTAAGTAGTTGAGGAGCGAGCAGCGCTCATGAGCCAGCGTTGACGTGCTGGAGAAGAAAGACAATCGTGAGCTGAATCCCGGGTCAAGAGGCTAAGCCAGGCCAGGCCGCAAGAAGACGGGACCAAGAGAGGATTAAGGGATCAAAAGAGAGAGGGAGGGAGAGGGGAAGAGGAAGCGACAGAGGCCTGGAGCGCAAGGAGGCTTACAAGAGTCGCAGACTGCTGGCTTTACTGGATGACTGGCTCCAGGCAAAATCATGGAAGTCGGCCTTGCCTTGGTCGAAGTGGCATGGCTCCTCAGAGGCTTGAATTGGCGGGGCAAATCTGCTGGAGGAGCTCTGGCAGCCGACGTTTTTCCGCCTCCGTGGCATGTGGATGTACTTGGTCCCTCCCGCAGCCGAATGAGGGGAGCTTTGTACTCGTAAATGTATGTACATTGTACTCTCGAAGACGACGAGATGCTTCGGATGAAGAAAACCATGATTGGCCAGATTCTAATGTTCAGCCATGGCTTAGTTATGGTTTGGTCGCCTCAAGGCTTATCACAATCTGTATAATTCCAATTGCCGCTTAGTTGTCAAAACACGTAGGAATTTATGTATCTATCTTACCATGCCTATACATACATTATGTTACCCATAGAGCTACCTCCCTATCTTATAATTAGAGGTATTTGGCACCCTGCTTACAAGTGTTCAGTCTGCAGAGTAAACTATTTCAAGGTGACTTCTTTCAATTTTTCTGTAATAGGAAAGAAGTGAGCAGAGCTAGCGCTGTTACGCAGGATCCTAAGTGATTAGCTTTATCAACCCGCCGGGGACTCGTATATTGAGGTTGCACCAGGATACTGCCTTCAATACTATTGTACTGTCTAGCTATATATATCGCACGCTGTCGTAGATGAGAAACTTGTCTTTTCAATTCGACTCAGTTCTCTTCGATCTTAATTTTTACTGTATGCTTAACCTACCAACCTGTAAGCCTTCCATATACCCTGTATACATGTACACTCTATATAATATATGAGACGGGAAACTAACATCATGTTAAAGTTATCCGATCTGATAAGACGACAAACCGACAAAATGAAGCTCAATAATTTGATCGCATGTCTGATGTTACATCTCAGCTTTGTGGCCTGCAAACCAGTGGACCTGAAGGACATAGCGGCCGTTGATGTGAGAGGGCTGGAGCCTAGGACTTTGAACATCGATGGTGAGACTGCCTATTATTGTTGGTCAGCAAGCTCTGCAACATTGGCAAATGCAGGATATTCGGCCAGTCTGGACAACCTTCACTCTCAGATGTTTCATTTCTTCAACGTGCTTGGCAACGTTGAGGCAGACGAGTTTGTTTTCACAAGCTCGCGCAACAATGGAGTTATTTGGACGGCAAAAGTTATCGTGGTGGCTACCACGCAATGCTTCACGATAGCTGACGCAATCAATGATCTATACAGCAGTCTCACTCAGGGGACCGGAGTACACGTTTACAAAGGAGGCACTGCTGCCGTTACGTCGGTAGCATCTGCCACTGTCGGAGCACTCATCGAGATGATATCGATGACAAACGGTGGTAGTTCTTACAGTGTATTGAAACGCGATGAGGACTTGTCAGCACGGGCTAGCTGCGGAAGCGGAACAGAGTATTTCGCCAATTGCTGTAGAATCCAGATCGATTGAAGAAAGCAGCGACTTATCAACTTATTCATCAATCCAGCGATACGGGTCATCAGACTCATGGGATGAGTCCAATGAGCTACCAACCTCAGCTGGATCACGAGTTCACTTCTTACACTCATTTAAATAACTTAGATGGCTAGTTGTTAAGACAGAATCAAGGTTCAAATATGGAATATTCTTCCAACTCTTACCTACTAGTGGCTGCCATATTATTACTAGGGAATGCCTACTTAGCACCCCTATTTTGTTATCCCGCATCCTTTGTCGTAAATAATACCAAATTCTAGAAAAAATGTAGCTATCGTAGGTAATATTAGAGGAATACAGCTATAGTAGCAGAAAGTAGTAATAGTAGCAGATATTTAAGAATTAGACATCTGCTCTAATTGGACAACGAGCTTGGGGTACTGAATAACTAACTATGTACATGTTCTCCCTTTTATTTTATCCCGATCGGGTTCTCGTAGCGTCTTTAGTGCATGTTCGCGAGGTTTGTGGTCGTATTGCCAAACGAACGATGAAACCACCGCTGATCCATTCTGGTGATGTACCATCTCGTCATGTTCGCAATATCTCTGACCTTGTTGCGAACCGCTCTGGTCTTCACGTTCTCGTTCCACTTCAGCTCTTAGCAACTATATTAACCTTAGTATAAATTTTTAATACGTTCAGACAAAGAATGCATGCAGGAGATTCTCATCCGTGAGCAGGCCGTTTGGGAACTTCCTCGCAATTCTCCGTGGTTCCTTCAGGATGCCTGGGGGGATGTAAAGGGCTTTGAGAAAGGGGACCTGGAGACGAAAGCCAGTAAGACCCCTGCCACCTCGGCGCACAATGGACGCATTGAACACCAGGTTCCTGGTCGAGGTACACACGCTCGTCCAAATGTCCTGCAGCGTCCTCTACTTGCGCATCGGTCAAAGGGGCATGCTTGACAATGGGGGATGTGTGGGAGCCTCGTAGGATTTTTATTACGTTTGGTAACTCTCAAACATCTATGTAGCAACATCTAAAGCTCACATCACTTCGGCGCACTGTAAGCTCAAGCCGATGTGGCCTCCTTCCACCTTGACCACACAAACGAAGCCCTATCTTCAAGACTTTTGACCGAACGCGGGATCATCTGGTACGGTATTTCTGCACTCTCCAGCATACGACAGAATTCATTGTCATATTCCATCCAGTCCTCTACATCTCGAGGCATAAGTCTGACTCCATCGCTTACAAGCCAATCTTCCACCGTTTCGCAGACAAACACCAATGATTGTGACATACGACCTCTCAACTCTTGCCAATAATTAGACGAGGTCATGAGGCTCACGGCCTCACTTCCAATATGGCGCGATGCATATATGATGGGATCTATTCCCGAGCGATCGGATATAATCCAGGGACTTCTAGTCAAGGCATCGCGCTCACTGTTGAATTGAGCTTCCAATATGAGCGCCTGTAACTGCAAGCAACGGGCAGGATCTGAGGTGATATCGCTGGCTGTAAATCCATGTATCTTTAGCACTGAGCGAGCGACCTCTCTAACAACAATGGGAGGCGTGGTGCTGAATAAATCGGCAAAGGAGCTTTCTAATGCATTGACAAGTGACGTTTTGCCTGTACATTGTGCGCCGACAATGTATATGTTCGTTGGCTTGAATTGTTGAGCTACGCTGACAGCTCCCATTTTGCTCACAAATTGCGACTGTGAAAGGTATCTGGGCGAGAGAAGTGGAAAGGTCTAGAACAAAGGCATTATTGGCGAATACGACAATATATAGAGCAATCGGCGAGAGCTAATGCGGGAGGCCTTCGATACATGTATGTACCACGTATCACCAGAGCCTCGTGCGAGTGCGGAAAAATGCCGTGCAACCAACCGTGCACATTCACATTCCCCTCCTTTGGGGATGCTGACATTCACAGTGATTTCTGTGTCTCGAATTGAACCACCAGCGCATTATCACCCAAGTGGACACATCTGAAATATTTCCACTTCATTCCATCAATGTACACCAATCGCAGGACTGAAACAAGCAAACCAAGTACAGTCACCCAAGATGCCTCCTCGAACCTCGTCTAATCCCAAATCCTTTGAACATGTTCTACTCGACAAGATCTCTCTAGATGATACAAAATGGGAATTTCAGATCCCACGGCTACCCACTGCCGAAGCAACAAATGGGTTGAAACTCATCAAAATGGTCAGCCTCTCAACCAAGAACTCTCAGCATCGGCTTGAACTCCGCTACGGACCTGTAGATATGAATCGTGCTATTCAAGACCTACCTCTTGACCGGTATCTAGTCATCTCTCTGGCTGATTTTCGCTCCCTCAAAGGCGCCAGCTCTTCATCTTCAGCAGAAGGAACTACAGATAAAGTGATACAGCCAACAACTTTCCGAGAATGTTCAGACTATGCAGTCAGGCTCCTTCGCACAGGGATTACTATACAGGGAGTGCATTACAACTTCTACGGTCACAGCAACAGCCAACTCAAGTCTCGCACCTGTTATCTCTGCGCAGTCTCTAAAGAGCAAATCTCCCAGAAAGTGGAGGCATTAGGCGACTTTACCAAGATGAAGACTGTAGCCAAAAAGGCAAAGCGAATTGGCCTATTGTTTTCGGTTGCTCGCGCAGCAATGCAAGTTGATTCGAAAAAGGTGGAAGACATCCCAGATATCGAGGTGGGAGACTTTATATTTACAGACGGGTGTGGGTTGATATCGCCCGGCCTTGCCAGCCAGCTATCGCGACGCATCAACATTTCATTTCGCAACATTAGATATACACCTTCTGTCTTTCAGATACGATATCGTGGATACAAGGGTGTAGTGACGTTGGATCCCACCATGCCAAAGGGGGGACCATGGCTCAAGATGAGAAAATCAATGAAGAAATTCAGCGGCGGCGACGACTTGTCTTTTTCGGTTGTAGAATACTCAAAGGTAAATTCATCCCATCTCATCATGTATCAGCATACTAATGGCCCATGCAACTTTAGCCGTATGTGTTTGGACATCTCAACGACGAGGTGGTTATTCTTCTCGACGCGCTGGGTATCAGTCGACAGACTCTCCTTCGCAAACAGGAAGAGCACTTTAAGTTTCTCGCCGAGGCATATCAAGACCCACGAGTTGCTTTTAGAATTCTCTGCCATTTGAATATGCCACAGGTTGCCGAACGGGTCATTATCGACTCGTTGGATGCCGTACGGCCAACAATCAACAAACTCATCAACGCTGAATACGACAAGATGCTGAACAAGCGGGACGAACAAAAGTGCCGTATTCTAATCCCGAAATCGAGGCTCTTATTTGGAGTTTGCGATGCCTGGGGCGTTTTGAAACCGGGCCAATGTGCCGTCAAAGTGACCATGGATGGGGACGGTCAGCCTTATGCACTGAAAAATACGAAAGTATTGGTAACGAGGAATCCTTGTTTGCATCCAGGAGATCTTCAGAAGCTTGATGTTGTTGAAAGACCTGAACTCGCACACCTGGTCGACTGCATTGTCTTCCCTACAACAGGACGCCGACCCGCTGCAGATATGATGTCAGGAGGCGATCTGGATGGCGATACCTTTTTTGTGACGTGGGACCCAGACATCATCCCATCGACGGTATCCCAAGCAGCACACTATCCAGGGGTCCGTGAACCCTTGAGGTTCTCGCCAATTACAGATGATGATCGTTTACTCTACTTTGCCAAGTATACAAACGCCTCACTGGGTCGTGTCAAGAACCTCTATCTGAAGTGGGCGAGGGCCACTAATGCCATGAGTCCCGAGTGCCAGGAGCTCAATCGTCTCTTCTCACAGTGCGTTGATGGCAATCGCATCAAAGACGACCAGCTCAGGAAATTCGAGAAACCGCCGGAACCAAGTGCAGATGCGCCCCCGTTTGTTCTGGACGAGCTTCACGAAGCAGCCAAGAAAATCATCATAGAGCAAAAAAACATGACCCGGAATCACATGAATAATATGGAAGGGTATACCTTTGACGGCGTTCAGCTATTGCTGTGTAGAGACGATATCGCCATTTCTGAGGCTGAGTTGATCAGGATGACTGTGAGATGGTGTAGGAGAACAAACACCTCCTTCTACGATTTGATGCACATGTTTGACCTGAATTCGCTAAGTTCAGAAGAAAAGGCATGGATTTTGGCTCAAGTGCCTGCGTACATTGACGCTCCAAGTCTAGTACTCAACGCTCTCTCCTCGTCAAGCCTGGTCACTGAGGCAGAATTGAAGCATTTCCATCTCAACTATCCCGGCCTTCATTGGAAACGCGTCTACACGTCCGAGGAAGACCGACTAGCCACCTTTTTAGAAACAGCAAGCAGAAATCTCGAATTATTTCACAAGAAACTAATCATCTTCCGCCCAGATGAGCGACTGACATTGGCAATGTACGTGCCGCAAAAGATTACGCCGGCCGATGACTTTGTGGTGGGCAACAAGGTGAGGCTGTTTGCCTTTCCGCACTCTCAGGGAAGAGAGACGCAAAGCCGACTTTCTCTGCCGACGAAGAAGGAATATCGGCTCTTTTGCGATGAGAATAGATTGCAGTTGTTTGATCGCACTGTGGGGAATACGTGGGTGTTTATTGGTCGTAGCGGATCAAACGATAGTAGTTACCGGAATGCGGCCAACGAACAAGATCGCCGAAGGGCAAGGCAGCAGACTCTTGCGAATGGAACCAATGTTGATTACAGAGCGAGTATTGCGCTGGACAAGTTTAGTAGAAATCTACAGACGCATATTGGAAGGCTACAGAGGCAGGGCATCTTGGCTGCGGTAAGTTCTTTTTTACCAAGTGCATATAGAAACGTCATGTCGTGCAATAATACTAATTTCTTCCCAATAAAGGAGATCTACATCATCAGCAATAGGGATGTCAGTTCGATGCGCAATCTGGACCTATGGGAAGACTACATTGGCACCGAGCAAGTCTTACCCCTATTCCCTCGCGAACCCAAGGAATACGACGTCCCAAAGCTTCATGACGTCGACTGGTCTTTGGGCGCGCAACCTCCTCTTGTAGTCGAAGTTGTCAAAAGGGGAAATCTGTCTGCTCTGCAAGACGTGTTAGATCCGGCAACCTTGCAGCAACTCTTCGCCTGGCTGGTAGAACGTGAGCAACGAGGGCTACTCACACACTGCTTCGAACACTTGATTACGAGTATCAGGAATGACAAAGTGATGGCTCCGGGGGATACTTTGCGAACCATGGCCGATTTCTTGCAGATAATGCCCTACATCTCGGCGACCTTTGCCAATCTGGGCTCGTGGAGGGAACTGCCTGAAGAACTGAGCGTTGTTCTACAGAATAGCAGCCACACACTGCTCCGCAGCATTATCCTATCGGAAGCTGAATTTGGAGACCTTGTGTTAACTCCCTTCCATACCATCTTGGACAATGTGGATTGGCTCAAGTTGGCCTCCTTTGCCGACCTCGTCGAGCTGATTGCGCTTACTGTTCACTCGTCAAGTACGGCGCTGGATCTTCTCCTCGAAGGCCTTGATAGAAATAGTTCCAGGTTGTTAACTGGTAGACCGGCCATTGTTCAAAATTTTGTTCACAACATAATCGGCATCGCGGTAGAGCACATTGGGTCGGTACAGGAAGAAGCCAAAAAGAGAGACGAGCTTCTGAATATCCGAATCGCCAACGACGAGAAAGAAACAAACTCGAGCACAGATCAACCAGGAACTTTAGTCGAAGTCACTTTCAGAATGGATGCCATTGGCGGCACGCCGATATCTAATACTCACGTACGACTCATCGCGGCCAGTCCGCCATCAAGCTCGATTTTAGACAGGGTCTATTCCATGGATGGCCTGGTTGTCGAGAGCAGGTCGGGGTTTGCCAAGATACGTTGCTTTCATCCACCGCCGTCTTACGCTGAAAAATGCTCCTGGATACTGGAGGAGTGCGGCTTGTTTGTGACTGCAAAGACGATGCTGGATGCCGTGCGTGATCTTGCAACTTATGAATATGCTTGCTGTGGAGTGCTTGATCAAATCATTGGAATTCAGCCCCAAGCTGTCGCCAGTGTACCAACTATGACTGAAAATCCAAACAATGAAGTGGCATCAACTTCGACTCTATCTGCAGCAGAGACTTCGTTAAATCCAAGTCAAAAAACCGCAGTGGAGGCATCACAGAACAACAAACTAGTCTGTCTTTGGGGTCCCCCAGGCACCGGAAAGACACAAACAATCGTGGCAATCATCAGAAGACTACAGCTAGGTCCTAACATCGGCAAGATACTAGTCACTGCTCCAACTCACAACGCCGTAGACAATGTCATGAGGCGATATCTCGGGCGAATCGGCCAGGAAGGCCTTTTACAGAGCTCAAAGATGACTCCTTTGCGCGTGGCGACAGAAGTCCGCAAAGTTGGCGAAGACTTGCGAAAATATACATGCGATGCGCTAGCTGGCCAGGAAGTACACTCTAGCCATGCTGCCATGCGTGAGGCCAAGAAGCGTGTCAAAGCCGCCGGAATCATCTTCACGACGTGTATCGGAGCTGGATTAGGCTTGCTGAGAGATCAGGTGTTCGACACGGTGATTGTCGATGAAGCATCCCAGCAGACGGAGCCCGCATCGCTTGTGCCGCTGGCAAAGGGGTGCGAAAAGGCAATCCTTGTGGGTGATCATGTACAGCTGAGGCCGACTGTACAAAATATTGCACTTGCGTTGGATTTTGACGTCTCACTGTTTGAGAGATTATATACTCGAGATAGGACAACACCAAACATGGTGAAGGTGATGCTGGACACACAGTATCGGATGCATCCCTCCATATGCAGCTTCATCTCGAAGGAGTTTTATGAGGCAAAGCTATTGTCTGGGCTCGGGGATGAAGATAGGCCGATGCCGCCTTCATCTTTCCCCTGGCCAACCTCTCCAGCTACCAATGATTCAACTCATCTCCCTCGGATGATCTTTGTCGAGTGTTCTGGAAGAGAAGATTTGGGCCACAAGTCTAAATCTAATAAAGAGCAGGCAGACTTGTGCCTCTCCATCTGCAAACTCCTACGCACACCTAAATCTACATCATCGACTGAAACAGATGCCCATAGCGCGCAGGCCACTAATAACACATCCATCGCCGTGTTGACTCCTTATTCACGGCAATCCGACATTCTCCAAAGATCGCTTTCCGGAATTCCCAACGTCGAAATTTCCAGTATCGACGGCTTTCAAGGGCGCGAAGCCGATATTGTTATTTTCGTCACCGTTCGTTGTAACGAAAGCCGAGAGATTGGGTTCCTCAAGGACCTGCGCCGGATGAACGTAGCTCTCACCAGGGCCAAGTATGGGATGATTGTTGTGGGAAACAAGGCGACTCTGACGGGAGGGAGGGAGGAGGAGGAGAGTACGGGAATGTGGAGGAGGTTTATGGACCAGCTTCCTACTGTTGAACTTTGAGTTTTTGATAAACAGATTGTATGTAGCAGCAGATCCGTAAGGGAATAATCAAAATTTGTAATTGATGGGACTGAGTCACTTTGACACCGTAGCGAAGTAGACTCACAGTGAGGTGCTGTGCATTTAGCAAATGGAACAAGAATCGGAATGAGATGACATGGTATCATGATGCGCTTATTGTCTGAATATCGGGTGAAAGTTTAATCTCGCCATTGCCCAATATCAGGCCGTGCAGCTTCCGGTCATACTGGCCCATGGGCACCGGCTCATCCGTTTCCGGGTTAAGAAGCTGCTCCGTGAGAGCCAATCCGTAGAAGCGTAATACAGGGCCGTCATTACCAGCTTCATCATGAGGTTTCGCAGCCAAGTACCTGTTGAGAAAGAAGTCGTAGAAGCCTTTGCCGTGACCAAGTCTTCTAACACTTCCCGCACTATCGGTATCAAAAGCCACACCGGGCATAAGGATCAGATCCAAAGTGGACTGGTCTGATTTGTGCACATCTGGTCCTCCAAGGATACGCTGCCGTAGATGGACGGTAGCTGGATCTATGCTAGGAATCCCCCAAGAATCTCTCTGAAGGCCGTCGTAGTCCTGGACATCCTGAAGCTGAACCATGTCCATTACGCGAGCTGGAGTTCCAGGTTCGTCTAGGGGTGACTTGTGAAGGTATGGGACAAAGACTTGCTTTCCCGAGTTTAGAGCATGGCGAACAATTGCGTCTGTCTGAATCTCTCCGACGGGCATGGAGAGGTATACGCTGATGCGGTTGGCGTCTTGGTAGGGCTTGAAGGTTTTGAGCGTTTCGAATATTGTGCTGCCTGATACGATTTAAGTGTCAATTTTCCAAAAAGTAAAAGAGAGAGAGAACGAGAGAAAATCTGGAATTTAATAAGGGATGGCTAGATGTTGATGTGGGTTGGGCTCGTCATACTTTGAGAGAGAACGGAATCTTGAGAGACTTTTGAGAGCCTCTGCTTAAGGAGCCGCCTGAGCTGCTGCTTGGCGGTGGCCAATGGAGAGGCCATGATTAAACCAGCCGCAAACGCCCAGAAATTTCCAACAAAATGACAGAGCTACAAAGTCAATGTGAGGCTGGTGATGAGTGAGATGAAAAACCGTGTGGAATTTGATGAGCGCCGATGGCGGGGAGAATCATCGGATCGGAGGGTCCGTGATCCGGCCGGGATTCCGTAGGTTTCATCATTTGCATGGCGACAGGACCCGAATCAGGCCATGGCTATAACACACTAAGAGGCTCGGCTCGGGCCATGGCAGTGATGGATGGGAAATTATACGCATCTGCATGCATGATGACGACGATTAATACACAGCATTTTCGTAGAGCTGCGCTGAACTGAGTTGAGCAGAGCTGAAGATCTTCTGTGTAACCCGAGCGAGCGCCAGAAATTTCGGGAACTCCAGGCACCAGCGCGTGTACATGGGTGAAGAGGTGGTGATTGTTCATTTGGTGTGTGTATTCAAGGTCCAATCAATGCGAGTTATATTTTGTACAGCATGAATTATCTGATCCGTCCATCCTTACTATGCCGTCTTTCCCAGGCTTGATTGATCCTTCTCTAGTCCAAGCTAAGCGTTGTCTCACATTCTGTATGTCGCCGATCCTTCGGAACCGCATTCGGACAAGGTCGGACATTCACGAAAGAGAGACATCAATGCTAGTGAAATATCACTAGAATAGCTGGACGGGAAAGACTATGAGTGCTTCATTTTTCACTTGGCTGCATATGAGAGAGACAAATAACAGCGCTGGGAGGCATAACGGTTGGAAATCAAGGCGCCGATTGGGCTACCAGGCAGAGGATTCAATCTGATATAGATTGCCGGTGTGACTAACTCCAGCTCCAGCCGGAACTTTTGATTGCATCACTAGCTGGATTGCGGGTGACACGCTGCATGCAGGCAGATGCTCTATTCATGCAAGGAGAGGCCCAAACGGGACACGGCAGCCGAAGCAGAAAAAGGTGGTTTGATATCTGATGCCGGGGATTGGGCCAAAGTCGAGCAAGCATCAGCCAGACAAACAAAAAATGTTTCAGCCGTTGGTTATCACCACATCGAATTGACTGCCCGATCCTTGTCTATGCCCTCTGTGTTCCAATTACAGCGCCCGCATTAGTGCATTCTCCCGCTATAACCCGCCCAACCCTCGTCCATTGAATTTTCGGCCCCTCTCCCCCACCATCACCATCGATTCGATCCGCCCTTTTTCGCACAACCGCCCCGCCATGGGTCGAGCCAGCGAATCCAGAGAATCCAAGTCCAGGACTTCAACAAGCTCCCCGGCCAGCGATTCCTTTCCGAAGCAGCATGGCGTTGCCCTGCAGAATCTGGCGCGAACAAGGGAATCACAAGCAGTAGCACCAGCAGCAGCAACGTCATCCGTCACCTCACAACCAGCCGCTGTCTCAGTCTCATCAGTCCCGGGCTCTCCAACCACAACCCCAGGGATCCCCGTCCCACAACCTCAATCCCAATCCCGTCCCCATTCCCGCTCTTCGACTACTTCGACTACATCTCTTTCTCTCCCCCCTCCTCTCTCTTCCTCCATCCAGCATGATCGCTTCCCTGGGCGTCAAGAGGCTGTAGCCCGGCCTGCTGCGTCTGCTGCCATGGCCTCCTCCAGCAAAGCCTCCAGCAGGGCGACGAGAACAACAGCTTCAGCAACAGCAACAGCAGTAGCGACGCCGCCGCTGCTCTTCGCCGATGGCCGTCGATCCGACTCGTCGCCCTACGGCTCCACGGCCATGACCCCGAACCGCAGCCAGTCTCCCTCCGGCTCCGGGTCCGGGTCCGATTCCAGCAACCGCGGGCTTCGCCTCGCCCGTTCAACCAGCCGGGGCGAGGTCTCCAGACGATCCTTTGCTTCCCGGCGCTCGTCTCGCAGGTCCGGAAGCTTCGATGGCGCCGCGCTGGTCTCCGGTGTCGAGGGCCGGTTTGGCATGCCCGAGGCTCTTCTGTCAACCGTTGTGCTCGACGACGACATCTCCGAGGACGGGCCGCTGCTCGACGGAGCCTCTTCCTCAACCGAGATCCCCGACCTAGACGCCGACGAGAACTCGCCCAACGAAGCCGTGCGAGCCTCCGTGTCACCAATTGACGATACGACTCTATCTATAAACACGCCGCGCATGTGGTGCTTGTCCATACTCTTCTCCATCCTTGGCTCCTCCACCAATTTGTTTTTTTCTTTGAGATACCCCAGCGTTGCCATTACTCCCGTCATTGCGCTGTTACTCGTCCACCCTCTAGGCCATTTATGGGATTATTTGTTGAAGCGGTCGTACGACCCCGAGGAGGAATTCACAGACGGTGTACGGACCGCCATCTCATCGCATAGCCATGACGGCCATGGTCAGAAGAAGCGACTCGACTCTCTACGTCTATGGCTAGCCCAGGGCAGGTGGAACGAAAAGGAGCACACATGTGTTTATGTGAGCAGCAATGTTGCTTTTGGCTTTGCCTTCGCCACGGACGTCATTGTCGAGCAGACACAATTCTACAACCAAGAGGCGCCCATTGCCTACCAGCTGCTCTTGACGATATCGACGCAGATTCTTGGTTATGGCTTCGCGGGAATGGCTCGCCGCTTCCTGGTTCGCCCCAGCGGCATGGTGTGGCCCGGCACTCTCATGTCCGCCGCCATGTTTTCCACTCTCCATAAGCAAGAGAACAAGCCGGCCAATGGCTGGACTATCAGCCGCTGGAAGTTCTTCTACATCATCTGGGTTTGCGCCTCCATCTTTTACTTCCTACCGGGTCTCCTGATGCCCGCTCTCAGTTACTTCAACGTCATTACCTGGTTTGCGCCCAAGAGTGTCGTTCTCGCAAACTTGTTCGGTGTATCCTCTGGTCTTGGTCTCTTTCCCATGACCTTTGACTGGGCCCAAATCACATACGTTGGCTCACCTCTCTTGGTACCTTTTTGGGCTGCCATGAATGTCGTTGGCGGTCTAGCCATCGTCATGTGGATCATAGCACCACTGTTCTATTACAGCAATGTGCTCTACTCCTCTTATATGCCCATCCTTTCTACGGCCGTCTTCGACAACACGGGAAAAGTCTACGACGTCAGCAAAATCCTCACTCCGGACTTTCTCTTCGATCGGGAAGCATACTCAAACTATAGCCGCGTGTTCCTGCCAGTCACGTATATGCTCAGCTACGGCGTTCAGTTCGCCGGCCTCGCTGCTCTCTTGACGCATACCCTATGCTGGCACGGCCAAGACATCTGGCACACATGGAAGAAATCGCTAGTAGAGGCGAGAGGACAAGGCAAGGAAGGCTATCAACAAGTCTCTGACTCCCCCGATCCTTCATCAGCAACCGCCGCACAGCCAGAAGGGACTCCCCGTGTGTCAATGTCGGGATCCCATATCGAAGGCCTCATGAGCCACGAGGATATTCACAGTCGCCTTATGAAGCGCTATAAAGATGCCCCCATTAGCTGGTACTTTGCCACCTTTGTCTCCATGGCAGCCATTGGCATCTTTGTCGTTGAATAGTAAGCTATCCCTCTCAATATGTCTTCAAAGTTGTTACTCACCACCACATCTTTTCTTCAGCTATCCCGTTCACCTCCCCTGGTACGGCCTTCTCCTTGCCCTGGCGATTGGCGCCATCTTCTTCATTCCCAACGGCATCATCATGGCCATCACCAACCAGCATAGTAGCATCTACCTCATCTGCCAGCTCATCTGCGGCGTCGCCTTCCCCGGCCGCCCCATCGCCAACATGGTCTTCGTCACCTACGGCTACATCTCCTCCGCCCAGGGCATCAAGTTCGCCTCCGACCTCAAGCTCGGCCACTACATGAAGATCCCGCCGCGCATCATGTTCTCCGTCCAGATCGTCGCCACGCTCGTCTCCTCCGTCACCCAGATCGGCGTCCTCAACTGGATGTTTGCCAACGTCAGGGGCATCTGCACCCCCGAGGCCGTCAACGGCTTCACCTGCCCCATCGCCCGCGTCCACTTCAACGGCTCCATCCTCTGGGGCGTCGTCGGGCCTGGCGAGTTCTTCGGCGCCCGCGCGATATACCGCTCCCTCGTATGGTGCTTCCCGCTCGGCGCAATCCTGCCCATCCCCCTCTGGCTCTACTCCCGCCACAAGAAGCACAGCCTCTTCCGAAAGGTCAACCTCCCCGTCATCTTCGGCGCCATGGGCTGGATCCCGCCCGCCACGGGTCTCAACTTCTCCGTCTGGGCCCTCGTCTGCTTCTTCTTCAACTACCTCATCAAGCGCCGCGCGAACGCCTGGTGGGGAAAATATACAATGACCCTCAGCGCCGCCCTCGACTCGGGCCTCGCGTTCGGCATCGTCATTGTCTTCTTCGTCTTCATATACCCGGGCTGGATGAAGGGCTTCAGCTGGTGGGGCACCGAAGTGTACAAGCAGGGCTGTGACTGGCAGGCTTGCTCGTTTAGAACCGTTGAGGACGGAGAGCACTTTGGACCTGAGTCCTGGTGAAGCGGTTGATTGATGTGTGTAAAATGCTTCACTTACACATGCATATCCTTTTTTTTTCTATTGGATATATAGATTTCTGTCCATCTGTCTGCGATGTTCTCTTGGATGTCATGCATATAATTACTCTACTACTTAACTACAAACCACATTTGACGATATCAATGACAAATTAGCAATAGAACTTACCAATCTCAATCTTAAAAACATCTTCAGCATATAAACAGTGCACCATATCATAGGATAAATGCAAGATATTAGTTGCTCATGACGATGTTTTTTTACTTTTGAAATTTGCTTTCTTGTGGCGTTCAAGTAAATTACTATACAGCGCAGTTTCGCCTCCTCCCTTTCTCGCCCGGCCCAAGAAATATTTCTATACCAGTGGTTTCTCACCCGACCTCATGTAATGCCTTTTTATTTATTTAGTTGCCTTATTTATTGCTCCGCCTGCCATTCGGGGTTCTATACACACATAAAATGTTAGTAACATGTTCAACAAATAGGGTCAATCAGAGGGAGGTATTGAATTATTAATGTTGAGGGCGGAAAAGGCTCACCTTTCGCAGAATCACTATGCCTTCCAGGAGGGTGCTGTTAAGGCTGATGTACTCCTCGTCCTCCAGCTCCGCTCGATCGCCGTAGCTTAGCACCACCGGTGTGCTCTGTGTCTGCCAGCCGGTAATAGTCTTGGGCCGACCAGCCTGGCCGACAACGTCGACTGCCTGACCAACACGAACGTTGACCTTCAAGAGGTTCAAGTCTTCGTCCACGGTGACAAGGAATCTGGGGTGCATGGCAGGAACAAGGAAGTAGAGGAGGTAGTGCGAGTTGGAGGCGATAAAGTCCTTGGGGTCAAGCATGGCAATGATGGTAGTCAGCAGACCGGCGGTCGAGACAGGGGAGAGCACCTGTCTGTCGGAGTGGAATGGGTTCAGAGAGAGCGTTCCCTTGCCCATGTGCAAGAGACCCTGTGCAATGCGGACCATGAACAGGGCGTCTTGGTCTCGGTGGTAGTAGCTTGCAAGCTGTCGGAGTAGCTGAGCCAATCGAGCGTTGTTGGTGCCCGCACCCAGCATACCCATGGCGAAGATGGCGTTGATGGCCACTTCCGGATCATTGTCGTGACTATATCTTGAGAGCGTGTCATAGACCTTCATCTGCGGGTTGCTCGGGCTAATCAAGCCCATAGCCAAAGGCACGGCTTTACGAATGTTGGGTTCGCCGTAGTGCATGAGATGACCAAACTGTCTCAGGACCATCTCCTGGCCAATGTCCTCTCCCATCGACACGAGCGCAATACCCAAGACCGCGTACGCTTGCAGAAGTTCGTCGCCCTTCTTATCGTCCGACTCTTCTTGGTGCTCGTTGCAAATGTGCAACAGCTCCTGGATCTTCAGGACAGCACCGGTACCGGCCCAAGCACAAATCTCGGCCAGAACAGCTGTAGGCTTGGCCATGGGGTGGTCCACAGCCTTGAGCGTCTCCAAGATAACATCCACCTCTTCCTGACGACCAAAGAAAAGGAGTCCCAAGCCCAGACCCAAAAACCTCGTCCACTTATCGGTCAATTGGTTCTTGCGCTCTTCGTCCATAAGTGTCGTCACGATAGCCTCGCTCACTTCGGGGTGAGATGTGCCAATAGCAATCAGACCACAAGCCAACGCTGCCATGGCCGAGATTTGCATGTCCTCCTTAGAGTCGACAATCATGGGCATGATCAGATCGATAACATCCTCCTTATTAGATCCAGCATAGGCCAATCCGAGACCCATCAGGCAACCAGTGCGTACAAGAGGGTTTTCATGGTGCAGCTTGTCAGCATCTCCCAAGAGCGCAATAGTTGGCTCAGATTCTAGCCGAACACCCGAGTTCATGATACCAATGGCAAGCATAGAACCGGCTGTGATCTCCGGCTCAGTGGCATAAGTGTACCTGTCGACGCTGTCGAGGCCGTTCTCAATATCCCACATCAACAGGGTGCCGAGGGAGGCAACAGTTGACATCATGCCCTCACCCTTGGTCTTCCACACCCAAGCCTCCTTCTGGGAGTCGACGAGCATCATCTTGTCGTTGCCGAATCCAGCATTGACAAACGCATTGACGAAGGCGGCGGCCAGGTTATGCCTGGCAGAGTCCAAGTTGGTCATTCCGGCTACTCGACTGCTCTCCAAGTGGCTCTTGTAGATATCCTCGGTGGACTTGGGGTCGAGGATGTTGAGTTCCTTACCCAGACCCTTGAAATACCCTGACAGCTTGATGTTGTGTAGACACTCGAACAGCTCCTGGTCATCGCCCTCACCATCTTCAACCATGGGCATGACAATCTTCTGACGGGAAATCAAAAAGGCCAGCTGTCTCTTGAGTATGGGATCTTCCGCCTTGTCGAAATCTTCCTGAAGCAGGTCAATGTCGTGCAATCGAATAGCAAGAATAACTGCCTGAGTAAACTGCTTGTGGGTGATGTAGATGTCGTGGGCAACACGGAGGAAGGTCTCGTTGTCGGGATATGTCAACAAGTTCACCATGGTGACCATGTATAGGCACACTCTGGGGTAGGAGTTCTCGTCGACAAACTTGCTGATCTCCTCAATGATTTCCAGCTCGCTCATCAGATCCACGGCATCAGCCTCCTGGTTGCTCTTGATGAAGAGCGGCACCAGAATCAGTGCCAGGTCGACAAGGTCCTTGGTGGGCTCATCGGCCGTGATGCGCTTGCTGTACACCTCGCCGATCTCGAGAGCCAAGTGTCGGACGTATTCGTGGCCCCATGATCCAATGTCGGTTGTGGGGGCCAAGAGTCGGTACTTGAGTGTGTCTTGTCGGTCCTCATCGGAGAAGGTCATGCCAATAACTGACAGGACATCGGCCAGTGATACCTTGTTCTCATCGCTAGGCCACTCGTCGTACAGCTTGGTCAGGGTCTCGTAGTGTGGTCGGAGAAACTTGAGCGGCTTTGGTACTGCTGTCATGGACGATGTGGAGGTCTTGATTGCGCTCTTCATCATTTCAAGGGCGGATTTGTAAAGGGAACTATCGGATTCCTGGAGACAAAGAGGTAAGCTTCCAAAACTCATCGGACAAACGCATAGCTTGCCCCTCCCTCATCTTCCCCTCCTCTCGTTTGATGTTATCCGGCAATACTCACTGTTAAACGCTCCACCATCATATCTAGCTCGCTCTTGAGCTGCTGGTCCTCTTCATTGAGCTCCTCTTCGGCAGCTGGTACCCCTCAAGTCAGCCATTGTCGAGAAAACCACGGGATATCGGGCGTCTCCCAAGGGAGTGGGGTATTTACCATCCTTCTTGTCGTCCTCCTTCTTGCCGTCCGCGACAGCCTTGTCATCTTTGACATCGTCCACAGCCTTGCCCTTCCCCTTATCAGCAGCCGCCGCCGGCTTTGGCAAATCGCTGTCCTGGGCCATGGTGACGTAGAGAGATTAGGCGTCTATGATGAACCCCCCCAGCAAAGACGTCGGGGGCTGAGGATGGATGAATGCGGAGGAAGTCGTTAAAAGATGGTTGGCAGGTTAGAATTAGAATTGCTCAGTATCGCAGCCCCGGGGAGGTTGAGCAGGTCGAAGTTGCGGGCGGAATCAGGTGGAAGTGCTGATGGAGACTTTGCTTGGTAAAGCTCTGGGCTGGGTTGGAGCGCTACTCTCAACAGCTGCCATGGGCTGCTAGGTACCAGGTATTACGCGAGGCGCTGCCGCCTACAGAACCAGCTACGTACTCTGAACCCCAGCCTTATGATCACGTGCCACGATCCCTGGAATTCGCTCTAGGATGAATTAGGGCTAGTCGCAGCCATTCCCATCTCTATCTCTGGTATCGATAAGATCTTGGTCAATTTTCTTTCATCACAGGTTGTTTGCTGCTTGGTAGACCCCACCAACTTTCCAACGGAACCCCCCATCTGTCGAAGAATTAAGTTGAAGGCAGGATACTGGCATATGATATCTTGAGGTTTAGCGTTTAGCCTAAATAACTTCAGCAAACGTATTTAAAAAGTTCGCCATATTCAGTTCATCTATATAGCCAGCCATGAAGTTGGACACCAGAGCAATGCGCCATCTGGCGGCCGAGGACTGGCGAGTCCTCACAGCAGTACGCCCAACAAACCCGATATAATATACAAACAAAAGATTCGCTAATCATATACCCCTTCGCTATTACAGGTCGAAATGGGCAGCAAAAACCACGAGATCGTCCCCACTCCTCTAATAGAAAAGCTGGCTCGCCTTCGAGGCGGCGTAAGCGGCGTCCACAGGAGCATATCAGCCCTCGCCAAGGTCGGCCTCATTGCCCGTGTCAAGGAAGCCAAATACGACGGATATCGCCTGACATACGGAGGTCTCGATTACCTCGCGCTACACACCCACGCCAGCCGCAAAGATGTCTACAGCGTCGGCAACCGAATCGGCGTGGGAAAGGAGAGCGACATCATGGTTGTCGCAGATCACTCCGGCAAGCAGTGTGTGCTGAAGATCCATCGTCTTGGGCGAATATCTTTCCGAACAGTCAAATCAAACCGAGACTACCTAAAGAACCGCAATGCCCAGTCGTGGATGTATCTCTCAAGGCTCGCCGCCATGAAGGAATACGCCTTCATGAATGCGCTTCACGAGGAAGGCTTTCCTGTGCCAACACCCTTGGCACAGTCCAGACATACCATCGTTATGTCCCTGGTGGACGCATTTCCTCTCCGACAAATCAGCGAGGTCCCCGACCCGGCCTCGCTCTACGCAGATCTCATCTCCCTCATCCTACGCCTAGCAAGCCATGGTCTGATTCACGGCGATTATAACGAGTTCAACATCTTAGTCAAGGAGATTAAATCAACGGCTGAGGATGGCACAGAGTCTATTGTACTCGAGCCAGTCATCATCGATTTCCCACAGATGGTCTCTATGGAGCATGTCAATGCCGAGATGTACTTTGACCGAGATGTAAACTGCATTAAGCGTTTCTTTTTACGACGATTTCATTTCACACCCTCCCAACCGGGGCCTTTTTTCAAGGACGCAAAGAAGACTGTTGGAAAGGGTGGTCTGAAGCGGTTGGATGCTACCGTTGAAGCATCAGGCTTCACCAAGAAGATGTTGAAAGATCTTGAGGCAGCAATCAAAGATAAAAAGACGGACAAGGAAGGTCAAGAGGGGGCAAACGAGGATGACGACGATGACTACGATGAGGATAGTGATGAGGATAGTGAAGAAGAGGAAGGAGAAGAGGAAGAGGGCGATGATGAGGATGAAGGCGAGGGAAGACAAGAAGCTCTTTTGAGTGGTGGACTCTCTGAAGGTCTCTTGAGTGGTGAGCCAGCCATAGACAAGGCCAACAGCGAAATGGCAAAACTGGCAGTATAGTGACCGGATGACTGATACCAAGAACCAAGACTCGACATGACAAAACAAAATTGAATTTCATTAGCAGCCGTTGTTCAAAAATGGTCAACGGGAAAAGAAGGCACAACAAAAGAATTTCTCATTATGTGATGGAATGATATCTCATCATTGTGTGTAAAAACGATGCTAACGCCGCCAACTTTTGCCACAGCCTGCCATTATCTAGACTCTATAGTACAACGCACATAAAATAATCCCTTCACACAGTTTGATCCCACTTATTGGCTATCTCCAGACCTAGAACATGTTTCAACCGTGGCGTAAAAGCTACCGTGACTGTTGGGGTAAGTGGTCCCAAAAAAGTCCAAAACAAGTAGTGGTAGAGATGTTGAACCAGCCGGCATCATATTATGGCACAAACGTGCGGACAAAAAGGCACAAAAAAGCAAAAGAATGAAGACTGCATGGGTGTTCACTGCGAGTCCTTCTTCGAGGCCTCCTTCTTGACCGAGGGAGACAGCTGGATGTTCTCTTTGCCGGCGGCGGCGACGACGGCTGGGTCCGCTCGAACCGTGACACTCTCATCGCACTCAGACGTGGTGGGAGTCGAAATCGTAGCGTCCGCGCTCGTGGTCGCCCTACCGAAAGAGTTAGAACTTAGCAAAAATGCTGCGGCTATATCCATACGCAGACTGTGCACGGGGCACTGAGCTTCGCGTGTCGTCAAGCGACGAGGACGATAGGCCGCTGCGAGATGTTAGTGGCAAGTCAGTGTCTACCCCGCAACCACCAGAAGCAAACCTTCGGGACTGGGGTAGATTGCGTCGCCAGTGGGCTTGCTGGTTGTACAGAGCAGGGTTCAGGCCAACAAGCGGAGTGCCGTAGGCGCCAATATTGTACTCATTGGTGCGGAACTGACGACGTTCAGCGGTAACTCGTTTGAGCTCTTTCTGAGCTGGAGTATCGGCATAGCGAATGTTCATTGGAAGACCCTCTTCACCAATGCCGATGCCGTTGAACTTGCGAACGATCTCGTCGCAGATCTCGCGAGAGTCAAATCTAAACTGCGTCAGAAGGTAAAGGACGTTGTGAGGGCCGACAGGGGCTTCGAGAAACCTACCGAGCAAAGCCGACGCCACGGCTGTTTCCCATGCTATCGCGAAGGATCTTGCTGGACTGAATGTGGTATCCAAGGAAGATAGTGGCGAGTTCCTAGGTCAGGGTCAGCCACACCAGCTGCGAGAGAAGAGTCATGTAAATCAACATACCATCTCGTTCAGGCTCTTGGGCAGGTTGGAGATGTAAAGGTTAGTTGAACCGTCATCACCCTCAGCTTTGAGCCGAGAATTGAACGACTCCTAGAAGTTGTTAGCTCAGAAGAGTTGAGAAGGGGGGAAGAGGTTGAATCGTACCCGGGCAAAGCCGATCTCGTAGCCGAGGCGGTGGAAGGCCCGAATGCACAGTTCAGAGTCACGAACATCGTAGAACTTGGCGAAACCAAATCTATGGCCAGTCAGCATCAAGTAGAGAATTGAGTGTGTTAGGATGAGCAGAGCTTACCCCTTACAAGCTCCAGTGTTAGTGTCGATGATGGCCTTGGACGTCTCAACAGCACCAAAGCGAGAAGTAAAATGGTAGAGCAGCTCATCGTCCGTGGTGGGATGAAGACCACGAATGTACACGTTGCGGTTACCGGGAATGCGATTCTCCAAACTTTGCTCAAGAGTCTTCATCTGGCCTGGAGGAGTGAAGACAGCTGGAACCGCCTTGGGAATGGCCGGATCTTTCTTGAGGAGCTCATCAATGGTGCGATCCGAAATGACCATGGGAATTGGCTTCGTGGTCTCAATGGGTGCAAGGCCCGTAGCATTAGGAGACGGGGTCGTGTATGAAGACCGATCAAGGCTAGCAACACGAGGGGGATAATCGCGGACAATGGAGAAGGCACCGCCGTAGTAGGGGGTGGCAGGAGCAGACTCCGTCGTAGAGTAAGAACCGCGACGATTCTCAAGACCCGGAACATCTGAATGGCCACGATCAGCACGAGGCTGGGCCGTGCCTGGGCGGCCAGGGGTAAAGGGCATAAGAGGCATCGAAAGGCCAACATAGGAGGCACCATAGCCGCCTGCGGCACCCGGATAATTGAGATAAGGGTTCTCATTAGAATGGCCAAGGCCCATGGGTTGCGCAGTTGGCACAGGCGTGAGGACGAATTGGCTGTCCGAGTTGACCATGAACGCATGACCCGGTCCCATTGGGACAGGAGCGGCATTGCTAGGCATGCTCAAGCTGCCGAGAGTCAATCCATTGAAGTGATTAATAAGGCTGCCGGGATCAGCAGCTGCATGAGCGGCTCGACCGGTGTAATAAGGATTAGCAACGCCGCCGTTGGCTTCCATTTTGGATTCGGCAACAGTGTGAAGATGGTAAGACATGTGTTTGCCTGTCGTTGTCGCGGTCAGTGATTTGTGGTAACGTAGAGCGTTCTTGTGGCAAAGATAGCAGATGACATGATGAAAAGATATCCAAGACTTAGGATGACTGCCCCGACTTGGGCGATGACAAGTGGCCCGTGATTCAGGGCATCAAACCTGAGTCGAGAGGAGTGGGAAGTAAGTTGGAAGGTTGGACAGGTGGTAGTGATTCAAGAGATGAAGTTGAAAAGAAGGCAACGTACCCAAAGAACAGCAGATCGGTCACAATGGTGATCGAAGAAATGACAAATGATTCGACAGTACGACGAAAATCTGGAATCAGTTAAGAGTTGGCAATGTAACCAAGATGAAGCATAGCGGTGCTGAAGTGGTCTTCATGTGCAAAGCCGACTGGGGATGATGAAATATGAATATCAGGCAGCCTGGCGAAGAGCCAGAAAACGAGAGAAGACACCATGGAGAGGACAAATGGAGAATGACTTCGCAGATGTATAAGGTAGAGAAAAGGGGGATTCATCTGCCAGCCTGTAGATGGACAGCTCAGGAGAGGAAGATTTGCTCAAGCAAATGGAGACAAATGCGAAGAGAAGCAGAAGGCTAGGTGATAGAACGAGACTATCAAAAGGTATGCTCACCTTACCCAGTCTTGGGATTACGTGGTGTTGCAGACAATGAAGCTCGAGGGCCAAAGGCAAATGGTGCTACCAAGACAATTGATTGAGATGAAGCGAGAGTAATTAAGATAGAACAAGCTATCAAGCAAGATGAAGTCTCGAAGAGATTTGGTCGAGGCAGAAGGCTGCAAGAGAGTGACGAGGACTGTGGGATGTGATGCTGTGAGGAGAAGGAAAAGGAAGAAGAGATTGAAGAGGAAGAAGAGAGAGAAGCAGAGAAGTAGGCGGAGGCGTAGACGAGACTTACCTAAGCCCTGCAGAAAAGGAAGCTGCAACAAAATCTATTTGCCCAAGAAACGGAAGGAGTCGTTATGATAAGCTATGCCAAGGGGGCCGACGCTGGTGCTGGTGCAGGCGTGATGGCCGCGATATTAAAGACTAGAATTACCACCAAGCCAGGAGAGACGCGTGTGAGGGAGGAAGAAATGACAACAAGGCAAATGGAAGCGAGAAATGACGAAATACTCGCGGTGTTGATTTGGCAGGCTGGGCTGAACAACTGCCAGCTGACTTGACTTGCTGCTGCCAGCTGTCTGTCCGTCTGCCACCAGTGCAGATGATTCAGCTCGGGCCGTTGGTATCCAGGCCGGCGGATTGAAGGACTTGGATGTGCAGGATTGAGAAATTAGTCCTGATCTTCTTTTGTTGCAAACGATGGTATCTGTTTCTTTCTTTGCATCTGCAAGAACAAAGTCGATGCTGGGTGCCTGTGTTAACGATTAATTCTCGGTAGCCTCGCAGATTTGTTTCTTCTCACAAGCGTTATCCTATCCGCTCCAACGAGCTTTGGGCATAGGCTTCTTTTCTCCCAATACCAAACAAATTCGAACCGAAAGCTCTCCTATATGCCAGCAGTATCTTCTGCCTTTGTCAACACCCGCACGTTCACTTTGAGCCAACAAGGCTGCTCAAACGTCCCTAAAAGGCACAGTTCATCTGCGGAACCAACTCGATGCTATTGCTCCAAACATGCATTACCAAATTCGAAAATCTAGCAGACACACTCGAACAAACAAGGCATAAAACACTGCGACTGATACCGAGAGGATTAAAGGCGATAAAGATACAGTCGAGCCTATAGAAGGGCATGCAATAAGGGAGCAGAATGATCACGGAATACTTGGACAGGCACAACCACTGTCACGTTTCGTTCTGGGATATGCACCTCTTATAAGAGTCATGGGGCTACCCGTCTAATAGGGTGGATGCAACAATGCATTACCACGACAAGATGTGTAAGTATCCCAACAGAGTGCGTCCCTCTGACACTGATGGCACCCAGCAACAACAGTCTTTCCTTTTTTCCCCCCTTCGCTGTCAGACATGCGCACAGATGGCCTTGCTTCACTATTCCCGGAGCCAAGGTACTGGCCAACCGGATTTCTGGCCTTGATGAGACCAGATCCATACTTGGACGGGACGCAGCCCCCAGACTGTACTCCGTACGAAGGCCGCCAAAGGGTCCCGAATCCACTCGTCCGAATTATTGTGCCTATCAACCCCAGCAAGGAGCACGGGGCAGGCGGGAAGGTGGTTGAATTTGTCTCAACCCGCAAGTGACTAGCTGGGAATAAGATTCGGATGGCTCCTGAGGTCCATTTTACTAAGACATGTTGTTTGTCTGGCAGCCGATCCTGTGCTTGGACCGAGACTACGGGATGTTGCTTTTTATGGTGCTTTGTCCAAGACTCTTTTGGCTATTGCCCCCCACAAGTGTACGAATTATGCTACGCTTTTTTGGTTTGAATAGAGCCATTTACTCATGATTATCTCTCGCACGATGAAGAGCGGATATCGACTATATGGATCGGATCTCGGTAGATCATCTCCCAGGCAACTAAAGAGAGCCGTCTTTCTACCATCTCCGCATAAGAGACGATCTCTTATGCACGGCGTTCAAACTATCAATATTTTCCACAGAGATGGATATTGTTTCCCCTCTGGGGCGACTGGCAAGAAAGCAAGGAGGATGGTGTAATTCCGCTTGTCTCCCTGGCCAACTAACAGCCAATCCAAGCAAGATGCCTTTGCTCCATAAAGCACCAACCACGGTAGCTTCATAATTGCTTTTTTTTTCTCTTCTGATACCAAAAATTAATTTCACTATCAAGGGTCACGAGCGCCACAAACATACTACGACCAAGACTCCTGGGGGGTGCCTTTTAAGACCAGAATCATGACCTGTCATTATCGCCGTCTTAGTATCTGGGTTGAGCGGGCTGGCTAAGTGCGATAATGGGCCGGGCTGAGACATGGACCCTATTCGAGACAATTATCCCAAGTGAAGTTTTCGTACGAGTATTTAGTAGGTTTAGTAGATATAATCATACTATCAACGGCGATGCACAATTATGTTAAAAAATGTGAAGTGATATTCTCAGTATCTTCTCAGCCTGCACATGTTTTTTCCACCAAAACCATACATATCCAAGCCATCCATCTCTATTTACCGGCCGGCCTACCCTTCCCGCACAACAACGAATAATTACCAAGGTCTGTAAAATAAAATAAAAACCTTTCGTGCAGAAAAATGGGCCCGGCCATCCCTGATATAACCTCTAGATCCGATAGCCCAGGTATTTACGGATCCGTCTAAGTAAGAGCAAATGTCAGATGTTGTGCATGGCTTCATAAACAAACGCCGGCGATGTGCTTCGCAAGTCGAAATGACTCCGGCCCCCCCCTTCCCGACAAGTATTTATGCAAAATTGTTTTTTTTTTCGAGTGGTAGGGGTTTTTGTCCCGTACAATTGTCCTCGAGAAAAAAAAATTAAATCATTTTGTGCTAGATGCATTTTTTATGACCAGACATCCTCCTGTAGAAAATGTATTAGTTGACGTGTGTCCCTTAGTTGGGTTTTTAGGGGACGATGGGGGATGAGACATACCTGGTACTGGTTTGCTGCTCTCATATTCTTGACAATCTCCTCTGCCTTGGACTCTGAGACGCCACGGCCCTCAGCAATGATCTGAGCCAGAACAGTGTTGACTTCACGGGCCATGTTGGCAGCGTCACCGCAGACATAGAAGAAGGCCTTTTGGGAAAGCAGGTCGCTGATCTCGGCGGACCGCTCCTTGAGTCTGTGCTGAACGTAAACCTTTTTGGAAGATTCTCGAGAGAAGGCAGTGACCAATTCGAACTTGTCGCCAAGGGCTTTCTTGTATTCCTACACATGGCAAAAATGATGAGTCGACGGGAATCAAAAAGGAAAGAAGGGAGAACATACCTCGAATTCAGATTCGTACATGAAATCCTCAGTGCTCTTACGGCAGCCGAAAAACAGAATAGTGCGACCAACATTGATACCTTCGCGTGCCTGCTGGGCTCGCTCCTGGATGAAACCTCGGAAAGGAGCAACACCAGTTCCGGGGCCAATCATGATAATAGGCTTGGCAGGGTCGGACGGCAGCTTGAAGTTGGAGTGGCGAACGTGAACCGGGACGTGAATACCATCGTACTTGTTACGGGGACCGTGGAGCTCGTAGGTCAAACCAAAAGGCGAAGGTTCGGGATCTCCATTCTGCTTCTGCTTCAAGGCCAGCAGGTAGTTGGTGGCGACGCCGCGGAACGGGTCCTGTCGGCCGACAACCATGGACGACTCGACGACGGCGGTGACGGAAATCTTCTTGGGCTGAACGTGGGAAGAGGACGAGATGGAGTAGTAGCGGGGCTGCAGCTTGGTCAAGCCTTCAATGAAAGCAGAGAAGGGGATCTTGTCCCAGGTCTCTCCGTTGCCGACGTGTTCCAATAAGCGAGCAATGTTGAAGAGCTGAGAACCGGTCTTCTCATGGAAGTAGTCCTTGTCGCTACCCAGCTTGGTCATCTCAGTCTTGATCTCCTCGTTAGGAGCAAAAGCAGCGAGAGTGGAGACAAATTGACGGGAGACGGGAGCACCAATTTCCAAGTGGTAGCGGACGATAGCATCATAAGTGGTCGGGGTCGGGAAGGGAACCTTGGCAGTGGGCTCAAGAGCCTTGACGGAGATGACTTGCTCACGCTTGTCGGTAAGTCCAGTGACGCGCAGGAATCGGTCGACCTCGTCACCAGCGTTGGTAGGCCAGATGGCAATGTGGTCACCAGTAGTGTACGACAGGGTGGAGCCGCTGATGTCAATCTCAAGGTGGATGCAGTTCCTGTCCTTGACCTTGAAGAGTTCGTAGGATTCGGCAATGGGGGCAATGTACGGGTTGTGAGCGTTGAAGGGGCCCTTCTGGGCGCCTTCAAGGTGCATCTTATTGGGCTCGCCGAGGTAGACTTCGGGGGACTGAGGAGTCAGGCCCTCACGGACAGTAATGCCAAAGACGGGTTCGTAGACGGCCTCGCGCTCTTCCAGGCCCATGTGAGCAGCCAAAGCAGCCCACATGGGTTCCTTCCAAGCCAAAAAGTCCTCTTCCATGGTTCCAGCGCCATCGTCACCCTCGCCAGCGTTTCCAATGCGGTGAGCGCCATACTTGGTCAGGAGCCTGTCGACATCCCTGACCATGGAGTTGTAGTGTTCGTAGGTGTTGTTACCGAGACCGAAAGCGACGTAGTGGAAGTTGTCGAGAGGAGCGTCTTCGCCGCCCTGGGAGAAGGCGACGTCGTCTCCGTTGATGAACTCGTAGAATTCGACGGCGTTATCAGTGGGCTCGCCCTCGCCGTAGGTGGCCATGACGAAGAAGGCGATCTTGTCCGAAGGCAGGGTATCCATAGCGTCGAAGTCGTACTCTTCTAGGTCAGCGACCATGGTCTCGAGGCCGAAGCGGCTCTTGCCCTCCTTGGCAAGACGAGAGGCGTAGTCCTCAGCGGTACCAGTCTGCGAGCCATAGAAGATGATACAGTTTTTGCCAGACTCCTCCATCTTCTCGACAAAGTTGCGCGTCTTGCCCGCCCTGGCGGCATTGCCGTTGAGGTAGGCGGCATTGGCATAGGGATCCTTCTGCTTGGCCCAGAGCGTGCCCTTTGTCAGGTAGGCAAATGTTCCCAGCAGGATGACACCCAGGACCAGGATGTCCAACGTGTCCAGTTCCGCCATGGTGGCGGGGTTGCAGCAGCAACAGGCGATGCTCTGCCTCTGCTCTTCTCTCAGTCAAGTCAAGCGAAACCCGCGAATCAGCAAAGCGAAACAACGCAAGCAAAGAAACCAGGTGCTCGAGAGTGTCGCGCAAGTCGGTCCCCCTTGCAGCAACAAAAAGTGTTGGCTTTTGTCGATTTAAGGCTGGATCTGTCTGCCGGTTTTGCGCGGCCTAGTCCGGAATAATTGGACGGGGGAGGGGTCGGACGAGAGAGAGGGTGGGCCGTGGCGCGGAATAGAAAAAAAAAGAATCAAGCCAACCCAGCCAGATAACGGAGCCTGGCGGGTGAGAAGCCACGGCTTATGCTAACGTGTGCTTGGTATCGCCCTACTTTGTTTGCGGGCAAAAGTCAGCCCGATGTCGTTCTCAGCCCCTGGGCAAGAAGACGGGAAAGGAGAGATTGAGAAGGAAGAAAAATTAAAAAAAGAAAAGAAGAAAGTTTGGTCAAGTTTGGCTGGACTTGGAGGGGGGAACAGCCTCTTTTTCACATGATTCGACTTCGGGATTATGACCAGGCATTGCTCAACAACCTCAGCTTACATGTACTTTCCGTGTACGTGTAAATCTGATTGAGGAATTCCGCCCCATTGCCGGCTCCGCCCCCCGGCGACGGACTACGGAGTAGTGGTGCAGCCCGCGTGCAAATTCAATGTTGACGGTGCGAGAGAGTGAAACCATTCCGAGTGCAAGGCTGTCTAGTTCCATGCATTGCGTCCGCTTACTAGTCTAGCAGGGTTACCTGTGTCAATCCCATCGAGATTGCATCCTATCAGAGACTCAATGCCCAAGTTGGTGATAAGAGGCCACGTTGTAGGTACTAAGGTATCGGTGAGCAGCACAGCTTGCAACAAGGTAATACATATGACGTTGAATAGCTCAGAAGAGAGGCAACAACCAACAGTGTGTCTATATAACATTGTATACAACATCAATGATAGCCAGCTCTACCGCGTGGAGAAAACTCGGCAACAAGTTGAGGCTATTTGCTATTAGTCCTAGGTACTAACAACCGCCGACTCTTAAAGAGACCAAAAGAAGAAACCCCAATAACCCGATCTCGCTCAAGCCAGCCAGCTTTGATCAACTGGCCCATGAGACATTTTCCCAACAGCCAGGACACTCTTGCACTGGTCGCATCTTAATTTCGTACCCGGCAGGCTCCTAGCGGGGCGAATGGCCTGAGACCACTGATTCCATCGTGTCGAGGACGAGCGACATGCAAAACCCGAGTACGGGGTATGGAGTCCGAGGCGTCGGCGCGGCGTCGGATCAAATGGTGGCACCGCCAAGGTACGGGGCTAGGGCCTGCGGTTCTGGGGGACAACCAAGTACCATGCGGGTACCTAAGATAATGCGCATCAGCTCGTACGAGCTACTCTACTCGTACGAGCAACACATACATCCGATGCGTTTTCATTCTAAATACTACATTGAAAAGGCTGCTGCAACTCTATTATACCTTGATTGGCATCTGCATCCTAGGGTATTAAAAGAAGGAAGAGACTCAACCGGAATAAGGAGAGCTGTGGTGATGGAAGTTGATGGAAACGATACAACACTATCATCAGCCATGCGGCAGTGGATGTGGATGGCAAGAAGGGTTACACTTTATGCTCTCGTGCATGAGTAGTCAGCCATGACTAGACCTGGTTGCAGATAACTGATCACCACACTACCGAGATCTTTTTCGTCTTCCAGCTGCAATGTGCTTGGCCCTGGCCCCCATGCTCACCTCCTCGCGTACACAATTAATATCAGGACAAGTGTTCATACAACCGCGGAGCCCTCCGAACTGCACCTGCAATGACACACTGCGGTAGTCTTCCAATTGCAGATTTGCAGTTAACAGGCTTTGAACCGGAAACGAGCACCTTTGGCCCTGCCCGTCTTCTCCCGTGGGCGTCGGTCTCGGTCGTCGCGTATTCGGGATGTCCGCGGAAGCGAGGCTTGCGAGCTGCTATCCGTCGGAACCTCTTCCGAATTTATGAGCGACGAAAAGACGTCCAAATATCCCGAGCAAAGGCGCGCAATAGATCGAAATGCTGGGGAAAGGAATATAACGGGTAAGTAAGGAGATCTAATACTCCCCGCCTCTATTTCCTTGCCGATTCCGATTCCCCAGGAAATCCAAGTGCCGGCGCTTTGGTCCATTTGCTGGAGAGCACGCGCCACCGACGCTATTTGGGAGGGCTAACATACCGCATTTGGTGCAGTGTCGTCAATGTCTATCAATTCGGCATCGAGCTAGAAATCCGCGGCAACTGTGCTTCGAGTTGACCCTGCGGCTTTCGGACGGCAGAATGCGGGGACTCTCCCTCCCTCCGTATTTTTTCGTTTCTTTTTCCTTTTCCTCTTACCAACCACCAAGGAGAGATCACATGCATATATAAAATTGGGTGATGCTTTCCTTCCGCATGGCCGTGGCGTCCCAGACAGACATCAGCCAAGGCGCTACCCTGGAGCTCTCCGCATTTTCAAAATCTCCCTTACATGATCTAGTTGACACCGGTCCAAGTTCTCCCCACAAAAAAAAAAAGAAAAGGCTCAGAGGCAAAGGCAAGGGAGAATTAGAAGAGGTAAAAAAGACAACTCAAGGAGATAGACAATGCTATTCAGATTTCGACCTAGCTTCGCATCCCGGAGGACCCTTAATCCGCGGCCAATCGTCTGCCCGCCGGCTGCCCCTCCCTTTATCATGGCCGCCGCTGATAGGACCAGCCAAATGCCCTTGCAGCTCTCGCAAGACACCTTCTAAGCCCAGGCGGCTGGGGAAAAATAGAAGCAAAGAGCCCAAGCCGGGCCCTATAAGGAATTAGTCTCGCTCGGACAGCGTAACGGGGAGCCAGGCTAAATTGACTATCCTGCTGTGTTTCCCTGCTCTGTGCTTCCCGGCTGCAGCCGTGTCATCGTACTGGCTGATAGCTCCAAGACTTGCTGTTTGGCGTCATCGTTGGAACAGCGCATGCTACCGTAGGCAGATGATGGGATTGGGCTGCGGTCCGATTCGAGATGGGTAAGTAGAGCGAGATTTCTGCCTCTGCCTCTGACCCTGATTAGCAAGCTCCAGTTGGAGTTGGTTTGGTTGATTGATTGATACAATTTCAAATCGAATGGCGTTGCTTGTCTTGCGTCTGTGTGTCTCGACGGGCGCACCAAAAGCCTCGTTTTTGTCAAGTCTAGCTGCTGACAGATGAACGCGCCCAGTGCCATCGCAATCGGCGCCGGACAATGCTCACGAGTCCGCCAAGTTCCCGAGGCCTGCGGCGAGGCTCGATGAGGAATCCGACTGGGATCAGACATATCGCCCTCCCCCTCCGGCCTTGGACCCGGCCTTGCGCCATCCTCCAGATCCGGCCGAAAAGACGACTCCTCTACCTCTGCCGTTGACATCGCCGCGAACTCTCGGGCCTCCCCCGCGGTCCAACGCCGTTGATCCGCCTCTTAGCTCGGCCAAGACCACGTATGGCCATCATCGCCAGACGTCCATCGTTCACGGCATCCAGCACTCGAGAAATGGCAGCGGCGCGAGCTCTTCGTCCAACCCGCTCAGTCCCCAGATGATTGCGGCTGCTGGCTTGGGCCTTGACCGAGTAGATTTACAGACGGCCCTAGCACGCTTAGAAGGGGATACTGCGCCCCCCAGGCCTGTTGCTACACCGACTGGGCAGCAGGCAAATTCCAGCGATGGAACCTATCCGATGAAGCGATCGCCTTCGGGCAACGCTGTTACCCCTCCAGGGACGGCTCCTTCGCGAAGAGCAGAGAGAATGCATAGCAAGTCGAGGCGTGACCATCCATCACGCTCGTCCCGCCACCACCGAGACGAGCAGAAGACTGTGGGCGAATATGCGCTGCATGTGCTGTTTACATCTGTGAGATGAGCCGAACCAGATATGACAATATGACATGATATGCTAACGCACCTGGAACAGTTTATTGCTCAAGCAGAAGAGAAGCTGAACGAATGTATAACCACCCCGTTTGACCCCGAACCTCAGATTGACAAGATATGCGGTCCTGGCGTGGACCCGGCCTTTGACCAACTCATCGTTGCCCTTGGCCATATCGCGAGTCCCAAGCCCAAAAATCTGATAGACTCGATGATGCTTTGGAGGAAGAGTAAAAGCGATGCTGCCAACGAGGCGAGGACGCAGCTGCAACAATTGCGAGGGGCTCAGGGCCAGCCCCTGTCACCTCTGCTGCGCAGAAACACCGAACCTGTCCCAATTGGACCCGTCATCTCTAATGGATCCGACAGTGGCCTCTCCGGAGGCAGTATGCTAGCTTCAAAGCAAGAGTTTGTAGCCCAGCAAGAGCGCCGCTCAACTGTTTCCATCTATATCCTCTGCCGCGTCTTGCTCGAGGTCATATGCCAGAGCAGCCTGGCGGCCATTACCCCAGAAGTAGAAGACAAGCTTGAGAGCATCATCTTTGGCCAGCTCAAGATTGCGGATAGCGAACAGCTGCTGGCCTCGCCCTTGAAGATGGCCAATTGGAACCTTTTTGCCCTTCTTCTTGGTCATATGAGCGACATAAACTTTGCCGGCGTTACGAAGAGGTTTATCGAAGATCTTGACAATTCCCTAAGTGAGCGTGTGGCCAAGAGTCCCACCTCCTTGTCTAGTCGTGTGGATGTCAATGACGGAAAGATGGATCTTGTTCTGGGGGGTATGAAACACCTTCGCATCAAAATCTCACCTGAAGATGCCTGGGAACAATCCTGCGATTTCCTCGTCTCTCTGGGCCGCCTTTTCAATAGATCCCATGGTCAAAGAGTGAAAACAGCCTTTTGCCAGATTATCGACTTGCTGCTCCTTGGGATTGCTTCCAAGGCGAGTAATAGCCACCTGATGCATCCAAAGTGGATGGAGGTCGTGGCAGCCATTGGACCACGGCTGGCACAAATGTTTACAAAGCCGCGACACTGGGCCGTCGCATTCCCGCTCACAGCCACGATGCT